GACATACTGAATTGGGCATGTTTGTATCGGGACTTTGTAAACACTCGTATTCGTGGTTATGCAATTGACACCAATGCTGCCGGGCGCGCGCCGATGCCGACACGGCGTTCGATCGGTAATGTGGTTCTTTCGACCGGGTCGGCCGCGACCAACCACGGTGGTTGAGAGAGAATTGGTGGCAACCCGTGGGACCCTACCTTACCTAGCATCCCCCGAAGAAACTCTAACTCGGGGGCTTTCGAGAGCTCACAGGGCTCAGATCTAGGCTACCTGTGGCGCAGTCTACCTTTACGTAGTCCATGCAGTTTTGCTACGTTTGATGTCGAATAATTTCCCGGTGGATGCGCTGGCCTGGTCACCTGGAAAATTAGGTAGGGATCTGCCTTCCGCACCTCCAGTGCCGCCGTATGACCCAAGCGGCCAAACTAAGCCATTCCCCCCCTCCGCCAACAGCCCTCCAAGAGGCCGAGTGGAAGAGTGACAAGCCAAAATCCAGCAGCGCGCTGCCTCGTCCAGAAGCTTTAGACGCTTGGTATCATGAAATGTCCGGATCCTGGGGTCATCGTATGATGCATCTGAACTGGCGATTGACTGCAAATGCTCAAGCGTTTGGATTTGCTGCTCAATTAAGTGACGTTTGTACGGGATAGAGGCGAGGCATGCAGTGACGCAGTGAAGCAAAATGTGCCTCGGCTCTCTCGCTTTCATTCGACAATGGTTAATAAGTCTTTCGGGTCAGGACCGCACCTCGTCCCGTCTTGGCGAGTCGAGGATTCTTTATTCAATATGAAATGATGGGAGACCAATAAAACTTTCTCAGATAATGCAAATATTTGGGATGCTAAGCACCATCTGGCGCACGCTGGGTGGATTTGGGCACATCGACGACGGGGGTTACCCGCCGTGACTACCGGACGCAGCGCACCGCACTGAATCTCACGAGCAGCATCATCCTCTTTATTTAATGCATGGGCTGCTGGTTACATACGAGTGCCTGGGCGGGGTCCCCGGCCTGCTAGATTTCGCTGCAGACCAATGGAATCTCACTGGCAAAGTAGACATTCCATGGCAGAATTGCTTCTTCGAATGCAGTACGTACAATAGCGGCCGCATCTTGCACCCACATTTTCTGTATCAGCCGAATTGAATTCAGGATACATATGCATGTAACGGGCTGGCAATCTCCTTTTCCACTTCCTGGCGACGTGCGGCATTACATAAATACTAACCCGCGATCTGGGCAGCCCATCCGAATAGTGATCTTTTGTAGGACACCTTATTCCTGATGTGCTGCATGCTCTAATTCGGAAGAAAATGTCAGCTCCTACGAACGCAACTGACAATCTGACTTTTGTCAATGCTCCGATCAGTACTTTCCACCGATTTCGAGACCTACCTGTCGACGTCCGTATTTTGATCTGGAAGATATTCTACCTTACCCCGCGAGCGTTCATTGCCAAGCTCGAAAGATGGAGTCCGCCACGACGGTTGCCCCTTTCTGATCGCGATTACGCGCACATTGGTTTGGAAATTGACTTTCTCGACCGATTCATGATTTGGACATTCAAGCATGCAAATGAGGCGACATGGCTATACTACAGATCCATCGACAATGACATCGATCGCTTGTCGAGGTCTGTCGCTCATTCGCTGCGCCCTCCTTTTTGGGTCCCAGCATGGCATAGAAGGCTAGTCCGCAATCGATATTTCTACACGACCCTTCCTCCCGGAAAGAACCCTAAAACGCCAATGCCTAAGATCCATCACATTAATTGGAACGTGGATCTGATCTGTCTATCCGAAGAAGACGTCCAAGGAAGCAATTCGACGCTGTCCAGCTGGTGGACGCTTGTGCGGCATCTCGCAATTTCCCCAGCAATCGAGGACTTCCCTTACCTGAAGTTCCACATCACTACGGAAAACATGTTCTTATGGTCGAACAAGAGCACGTTCAGAGGGCTGAAAAGCCTACGACACTTACATCCAACACGATCCGAATCAGAAACTCTCAGCGAAGGAGCTCACTTTCAAACAAGATACCTGTTAAGAGACTCACCACATACACCTCCTGAGTGGAAGGAAATGGATTACTATCAAGCATTTTGGCCTCCTGACAATATGGAGATACCGCCACAGCCATCATGGAGCAAGTTCCTTCGTAGGCTGCAGAGCCACCCCGACCAAATCGAAGGCATATCCATAGAGGAGTTATCTAGGATCTCCGCGGATGACGAAGTGGCGGGTGCGAGAGAATTCTTTCGCGGTATGGTCCAGATGATGTAAAGTCCGCAGTTTCAACATGTGGTCAGCTTGCGAGTCGGTTCGTGTGGAGTTACAGCTTACATAGGAAAAGAGCAATTTAGTCTTAGACTGAAAGGCATGGCTTTAGGCATATTTCCTTAGAATGATAATCCACTGCTCCTAGACCGATATTCATGGTTATCAGTGTACTGACTTGGGATCCACCTTGGGGGGCTCGTATCATGTATGTTGGAAACGATGGACATGGTCGTTGGGTTGGCAATCAGACCATCATTCTGACTCGCTGACTATGCCTGATTTGAACCGTTTCGTCACTCTGTCCGAGATCTATATGCATCATGGCTGGGTCAGCAACAGCGGCCGGCAGCAGACTCACGAGTCTAATGAACTTCAAAAACTACACTTCATATCACGCAGAAAGGATCAATATGCAAGGTGAATTGAAATGTAAGTCAAAATTGGGTTCGTGTGAACGCTGAATGATGACATCCTGATGAACATTCAACTCCTGGGCTCACCAAGTCACACATACTACGGTACCTAAATGACACGCATCTTCAATTATATTAGGCAGAACGAGTTGCTGACACTGACGTTCTCAAAGTCAAAGTCTTTTCATCGGACGCAGATTGTATAGTGCAGTTTGTCCATGTTCCTCTGAGGTTTGTCATTGTGTCGACAAAGATTGTGAACCATATGACACATATCATATCAGAATAATCTGAGTCATAGTCTTGACAAAATACCATTAGTATCCAGCATAGATAGATGATGGCGCGAAATCTCCTTGATAGAGGAGCATCCAGCAAGCGCCATAGTCGTCCTCAACTCTTGCTCCAGAATGTCGACTGCCAGCTTGACTCCCTGTTCCCCATTGTACTATGGTATTGCATGTGAGTTAAATATGCTCATCACACGTTTGTGCATCTAGGGGCGTTCTTACCGCAAGACCCCAAATGGGAATCCGCCCCACAAAGCAACAGTCGGCCCCAAGAGCTAAGGCTTTGAAAATATCAGACCCGCGGCGGATTCCACCGTCAATTCCGATCTTGATTTTGCCTTTGGCAGCTTCGGCACATTCGGGTAGCACGTCGATAGTCGCAGCGGCGCCATCCAGCTGTCTCCCACCGTGATTGGAAACGATGATTCCATCGAGCCCGTATTTAATAGCAAGTAGCACATCCTCGCTGCAGTATACTGTGATAGGCTTCAATTAGTTTTGTATCTGTTGAGAAATCTCACATGTACCTACTGCCTTTGAGCCAAAGCTCGAGTGTGGTGTGAGACTTCACCCAGGGGATGATCGACTCCCAAGAATTGCTAGCATCCCGCCCAGGATTATGATGCGAACGAACGCCTCCCAGATTTGGCAAACGCAGATTATCTGGTAGGGCTAGCTTGTTCCTGGTTTCGTTCAGACGCCGGCCAAGGACAGGTGCATCAACTGTCAGTATGAGCGCTCTATAACCCGCCTCTGTTCGGTGTTAGCTGTTGGACATGAATCCCTTGATCAGCTAGGCCCAAAAGATTGCTTACTCTCTGCCCGCTTCATCAAATCCAGTGGGACCGAGCGGTCTTTTGTGACGCTCAGTTGGAACATGTAAGGATTCGAGCTTTCTCCCTTCTCTTCTATTACATCCTCAAGCGAGGTGGTTGCATAGGTTGAAAGTCCCATAGGGATACTTTTGGCTGCGGCCGCTCTTGACGTGCCCTTCTCTGCTTCATGATGAGCAAGTCCGTGCATAGCAGCGGGTGCGAAAGCGAGCGGGAGAGCAATTTCAGATCCCAGCATAGTAATCCTCGTGTCTACTGAGGCTACATCGACGAGAATGCGTTGACGGATTTTGTACTTGTCGAAAGCATGCTCGTTATCTCTGAGCCTACGTACCCGTTAGTGATTGAGACTGCCAAGAGGGAAAAATTGGCAATACGTGATCATATCCATCGCTCCTTCATTGAAGTACTCTGAAGCTCATGTTAGCAGGTTCCAAAAACACGCAGCAGTTAATTCCTTGAATCCATACCTCGGGCTGTCTTGTCCAGCTTAGCGGAAGCTACTCGCTTCAGCTCCGAGATGGTGAGGACTTCTTGTGATGGTGAGTTCGCCATGACGGAATTGTGTGACGCGTGTATCGTGTCCTTGCTTCAATCGAAAGTTGATATCGAGAACGGATAGCGCAAGTTCGTACACCTGCGGTCCGTTGCTATCAATCATCATCTTAGTGGAGGCCACAAACCTCGCACACCTCTCAGCAAGTACTATTTAACCTATCCAATAAGATTACTTGCCCCGGAAATAACGGGTTCCCAGTTGTTGAGGGCAAGGTGAGGCCATCATGTCGGGTCAACCCGAGTATTCATATCAGACGACGCCACCCTGATAAGCGTGCAGATCAGTGCCAGTCGGGTCGACCCGAGTTGCTTTACACACACATGCCACCAAACGGAACGACCCGCTGTGTCCGTAGCAAAGCGGCTCTCAGTTTCCGATTACAATCGACCGTTGGGTCTGGTTGCGTTGTGCTCAATCTGCTATGTTGGCGAGGTGACTTGTCAGCATGTGGTGAGCAAATTGGGCCATCCCATCTAAGCAGCTGGATCTTATGAGCATAGGAGTAGTCTAATAAAATGGGATTGGGATTGATGAATATGCTTCTGAAACCCACGGGCCTCTTCTTGGTCCTAGTCCAACGCGCTTGGGGCTGTCAATCCTCCTACTGCGTCCGATCGTGTCCAAGATGAACACCAATGGCAATCACAAGTCATGGGACGTTCCCGTAGACTTTGCTCGGAGGATGAAGGTGATTTGCATCGGTGCAGGAATGTCCGGGATCCTATGCGGGATACGATTCAAACAAAGAATTCCGAATTTGGACCTGGTCATCTATGAGAAGAACTCCGAGGTAGGCGGTGTTTGGCTTGAGAACAGGTAAGCGATTTCTTCCCCCCTCTAATAGCGATTTGACCATTGACAGAATCAGGTATCCTGGAGTTACATGTGGTAAGCTCAATTCTTGAATGCCCCTTGATGCATTGAGTCTGACTGCTACGCCTGGTGTCATCATATGTGCCGTCCGTGAGTTCTGTCACTTGGCAAATGCCACCAAAATGGGCATCCACCAACCATTTGTAGGTCTCATTTCAGTACACCTTCGAGAATAATCCCAACTGGTCTCACTTCTTCTCACCTGGACCTGAGATCGGTCGCTACTTCCAAAGCGTGGCAGAGAAGTACGGCATGAAATCATTGGTCAAGTTTCAACACGCCTTCAAGTCCGCCCGATGGCTCGAAGACGAGGGTCAGTGGGAGGTGACCTTAGTGAACATGACCGATGGCACTGAGTTTAGAGATTATTGCAATGTCTTTGTCAAGGCAACAGGCAATCTTAATAAGTGGATGTGGCCCAAGATTGATGGATTGCATACGTTTCGGGGGCCATTGATTCACAGCGCCAACTGGGACGAAAGTTTCGATCCAAAGGGAAAGCGGGTTGCAGTGGTTGGGTACGGGGCTACAGCCGTGCAGCTTGTCCCAGCCATCTTACCCGAGGTGCAGCATATGGATCACTATGTGAGGGGACAGGCTTGGATCTCGCCAGCCGGCTATGTTGCTGCTGATCCGAGAAAGACTACTTCTGACATTCATAACTGTAAGTATTGGAAATTTGTTGATGTTGAAATGGGTGAATTGCTAACACTGAGAGCAGTCCCTTTTCCACCCGAAGAGCAAGAGCGATTTGAGAAGTACCCAGTGGAGTACCTCAACTACCGGCACCAGGTTGAAAACTTCGTCAACAAGTTTCAGCTTGTCCATTGGGTTGGATCAGACATGAACAAAAGCTTTTCGAAAGCCACGGAAGACTCGATGTTGCGCAGACTGGCAACGAGACCAGATATATTTGACGCCCTGAAGCCAACGTACCCGGTTCTCTGTCGCCGGGTTTCCCCAGGACCAAGATACCTCGAAGCTCTGACAGAGCCCAATCTGAACTTCATTCCCCAAGGAATCAGGAAGGTCACCGAAACTGGGATAGTGGACGATATAGGAGTTTACAGAGAGGTCGATGCTATCATCTGTGCTACTGGATTCGACACATCATTGTCGCTCAAGGAAACCCCAAATTTTGGCAGAGGCGGAGTATCGCTCGACGACTTGTGGGAAGAAGAGCCCGGCGCTTACATGTCAATGTGTCCGCCGGAAATGCCCAATTGCTTCTTCTTTGTTGGCCCGAATGGCGCTCCTGGTGCGGGGTCAACAATCCAGATGAGTGAGGTGACTTGCGAGTACATGATCAAGTGTATCCTGAAGCTGCAGCGCGAGAACCTGAAGTACATGGTTCCAAAGTGAGTTGTGCCTGCCTTTGAAGCTCGGACAAGAATCGAGTGGGTATTGACAATTTCGAAACAGGATCTCGGCTGTCAATGCCTCTATGAAGCAGGTTGACTGGTATTTTGAGAAGACGACTTTTGCCTTCACAGTAAGCAAATTTGCTCTTGGAATCAGTCCCGGATATATTAATAACGAACAACCAGTGCAATAGTTGGGCCAAGAGAACATCCAATGGCCGGATGTTGGGCTACTGGCCTGGATCTGCTGTTCACCAACGTGCCACATTGATGCATCCTAGGTTTGAGGACTTTGAGTACGTTTCAAATGACGAAGACGAGAGTGATAGTCTTGCGTGGATGGGGAACGGCATGATCATGGCGCAAAAGATGGATACCTCCACAACTGGATATCTTGATCTGGTGGATAAGCCTCCCGTAATCGGCAAGCCAGCTGTCAGCCTCCCCCGGAACGACCACGAAGATGTGAGGGGTAGGGGTCTAGATAATTTTGTCGAGCCGGTGAAAGGTCAAATCCGTGTAGAAAACTGATGATGATGATGATAGACGGGACGGTGATGGTTGCTAGGAGTGCGTTAGTAGCAAATAGCACCTCTTCTATCAAGAGCTGAGTGCACTGGGTGATTTGGCAGATCGCTTCATTTATCCATTGTTAACAATAACTCCATTCCAAGGCAATTTCACCCAAGGGAACGCGGGGAAGAAATGCCAGTGACATGCTTCGTCGTTTACCCGAAGTCCCTTATCGCAGGCTACTGGTCGCAGTAAGTGCGGGGGAGGTCATTCTAACAGGGATATGAGATACTGATGCATGCACCTGATCCACCACTGTGCATCCTTTATCTTACTAGCTAGAACGACTGATAGCCGCGGACAATGACATCCTGCTCTCTTATCACCCCTGTTGGGGAGCATCTCCATTTTCAACAACCGCAGCAACTGTCTGAACTCCAGTCAATATGTCTCCATCTCCGTCAATCACAGTGCGGACCCATGCCAAACGAGCACGAGTCGCCTGCATTGCTTGCCAGCAGAAGAAGCAAAAGGTGAGCCTACGTAGTATGGTAACTTCTCTGCGCATGTCGTGAACTCACAATATCCCTTGTCTAGTGTGATGGCCGGGCACCTTCGTGTGGAAATTGTGTGAAAGGCTCAAGAAGTGAGTTGTGAACACAGCCCTTAACTTGTGGTCTGAACTTGGCTGATGCACAATCAACAGCCTGCATCATCGAAGACCCCTCTACCAAACGACAGTATCCTCGAGGATATGTCGAGGCACTGGAGGAGCGTGTGGCTCGTCTCGAAGCATCGCTCTCGGTCGAAGACGGAGACTTTGACAGCATAGACCATGATTTCAACCGCCCACACAAGCACACCCAGCAACCCCAAGAAGTACCTGTGTCCATCGTAGCATCGATCGACGCAAACGCTCAAGATAGGTGTGTACCCAATGGCATAGCGGATGCGGTTTGTTTCTAATGTGTGCTAGCCTGCAGAATGAGTCAGCCAACAATAATGGCGAGACCCTGAAAGAGCTGAGCGAGGGCTCATCTGTGCTAGATCTCCTTTGCCTTCGAGCTGCTGGTGGAGAGCCTCACTACTTCGGGTCCTCCTCCGCATTCTCATTTACAAAACTATTTACTGCCCGTCTGAGAGGAGCGCAGGTGCGAGGTCCTGGTATGACTCTCGGGGGCGTCTCCAATTCCTTCGTCCAAAGTCGACCACGTGCGGTGCCGGCACCCATGCCGGGCAGAGAGGTAGCCCGGATATTGACAAGTTCCTATTTCGACAACGTCCACCCACAGTATCCGTTTCTGCATAGGCCGACGTACACCGAATATGAAGATGCTGTTATGACAGCCTGCGAGAACGGGCTTACTACCGACCCTCTGAAAGCGTTCTTCGTGTTTATGGTTACCGCAGTGGGTGCTCTCGCGGTGCCCTTCGCCGGCGCACCCCTCCCGGAGAGTCTCTATACGGCCGCTGAAGATCTCTTCGAACATGTCTTGCAGCTCAATAGTCTGGAAACGATACAGGCACTGCTTTGCTGTGCCATGTACTCTCTGCGGTCGCCCATAGGAGTTTCCATCTGGACGTTGTCGGGGTTAGCCGTCCGCCAGTGTGTTGAGCTGGGGCTTCACCGAGATATCCCATGGTCAAAAGTCGAGTCAAACACACTCAAAACTGAGGTACGACGCCGCGTCTTTTGGTGCTCCTACAACCTTGACAGGGCATGTGCTATTACTTTGGGACGACCTGTGTCTATTACCGACGAAGACATTGATGTCGGTCTCTTTTTGGACATCGACGACGAGAATATCACGCCGACTGGGTTGCTAGCTCAAGCGCGTACATCAAATTTAGAGCCGGCAACAGTGGTCTCTTCCGCCCTCCATACGATTCGCCTACGATGTATATGGGCGCGCATGCAACGCACCATTTATCGAGAAACACATAGTGTGGCCCCGCATCGTAACTCCTCTTCGACGCAAAAGTTCAAAGACGAGCTTCGCGCGTGGATGGACGCCGCCCCAGAGCAACTTGTGGAGGGCTGTGCAGCAAACAACGCATTCGGTAGCCCCGAGTGGTACAAACTCATGTATCACCACTCGATCCTACTTCTCCACAGAAGGCGCTTGGTCGTACGTCAACGGTCATCTCACGATCAAAGCCGGTGGGCAGCGCCTGAGTGCGATGATGCATCGGTGTATCTAGACTGCGCATCTTCCTCACAAGCCATCTGCGAGCTTTATCGCACGCTATACCTGAGTCAAAGATTGAATGATACATGGGGTGCGCTGCATGTTCTATTCCTTGCTGGGTTGACCTACGTCCGCTGTCTGTGGAACAGTCCAGAGACACGGAATACCATACGACGAGATATCGTGTCTTCAACGTGCACTTCTTGCATGATAGTTCTTGCCGTAATGTCGGAGCGATGGGATGCGGTGGCGCCATATCGGGACACATTTGAAGCGTTGTCAAATGCTACACAAGCCATGCTGGTGGACTTGGAGACTGCGTCATGCATGCCAAGCGGGCCTGTGTTGTCGTCTTTACAGGCCGACCAAGTCTCCAATTACTTTGCTGGCATGGCTGATATTGGCATGTGCTCATCTGTCGAGCAGCTTCTGATGGACATGATCACGGTGGAATATTAGTGATTTCTTGTCCTTTAGCTATCTGAATTATTGTACAAGCCCTAGGAGAGGTTGTGTCTTCAAATAAACCCAGTGCATTCAATCTCAACATCCGTACTTTCAGGATCTTGTCTGTGCCTGAACCTGCCGCCTCTAACACTTTGCCGAGGTTGGTGAGAGCCTGCGTCTGGAACATGTTGTTAGCATGAATCTCATCTGATACCATGGAGTGCTCGCTCACAGTTCTATCCGCAATGGTTCCCTCGACAATCGAGTTTGTCTGGGGGTTCATGCCGATTGACCCGGAGCAGAAGACGAAGCCGCCGTGAACCATAGCCTGTGACAGTGGAGGATAGGGGCCGGGAGCCTCCTTGGTAATAATCGGCTTCCGCTGGCAATCAGACATCATTTGGACTTGTCAGATTTAGATTGAGTATTCGAGGATTATGGTTTATCATTGTCGTTTTTCTTTGATGGCTCCCAGGCGTGATGTGTTCTTTAAAGCCGCCGGTTTTGCAATAACTTCACCAAAAATGAATGGCCAGCAGAGAATCGGTACGATCCGACCCGGACATCCAATCTCAGACAAGCAGCTGGCCCCACGCAGCACGCCCCTGGAATGTTGTCAGGTGATTCCATGGATGAATGCGTTGGGAAAGGATTGATCTGATTGAAATAGCCCGATTCAAACACAGCCACTTGAAGGTCACTCCTTTTAGCATTGGATAGCTACCGTATAGGCCATCTCCTCTATTACTCATACCTCCTCTTCAACGCACTCGGTTTGCTTCACTGCCCGCCCATCATGTCGCCCCCATCTCAGACTCAGTGTCAGGTTATGTTGGCGGAAGCTCTCCAGCAATACGAAACTCGAAATACTAAGTCTTTGGAGTACCACAACGCTGCTTTGGAAAGTCTTCCGGGTGGTAATACCAGAACTCTTCTTCATGTTTCCCCATTCCCGATCGTCATGGTACGGGGAGAGGGATCTAAACTGATTGATCTCGACGGTCACGAATACTGCGATTTTGTGGGAGAGCTGACCGCCGGACTCTTCGGCCACTCGGAGCCCAAGATCAAGGCATCTATGTCAAATGTCTTATCGAACATCGGCTTAAGTCTCGGAGCCACCAACATCTATGAAAAGCAATACTCGGAACTGCTATGTGCTCGTTTCAACTTGAAAAGTCTTCGGTTTTCAAATTCAGGCACTGAGGCAAATTTGCACTGCATTGCCGCCGCTCGCAAATTCACTGGGAAACGCAAGATTGTGGTGTTCAGGGGCGGATACCATGGAAGCCTCTTGTCATTCTCTCTCGGGGCTGCGCCGAACAATGTCGACCAGATGGACTGGATCATCTCTCAATATAACGACGTTCAGCAGTTGGCTGATGCTTTTGAGAACAACAAAGGGGATATCGCTGCGGTATTGGTGGAGGGAATGCAAGGCTCTGGAGGCGCGATTCCTGCAACCACTGAGTTCCTTCGCGCGATTAGAGAGCATTCTCGCGCCGCCAGCGCACTCTTCATACTCGACGAAGTCATGACATCTCGACTCTATGGCGGTGGCATAGCCTCCACATTCGATCATGACTTGGCTCCGGACATGAAGACGTTCGGGAAGTACCTTGGCGGCGGTATGCCTTTTGGCGCCTTCGGAGGGCGTCGCGACGTTATGGCCGTGTACGACCCACGAATGCAGGGATCTCTTGCCCATTCAGGCACTTTCCAGAACAACACTCTCATGCTCAATGCAGGCTACACTGGCCTGTCCGAAGTATTCACACGTGAGGTAGCTGACGCATTCCACCAGAGGGGCGAGGCTCTACGTGCGCAGCTACTAGAGGTATTCCAAGGGACTCGATTCACAGTGACGGGCCTTGGAACCCTCATGTGTATTCACGCCACCACGAACGGGTTGTCCCGGGATCAGATACAATGCAAGGACGACTGGACAATGGTAGAAGACGGGGATCTGAAGCGGCTCTTCTGGTTGGAAATGTTGGAGGCAGGGTACTGGATCCACCCGCGCGGTAGTATGGCCTTGAACCTGGCTCTGATTGCAGCGGACATGGATCGGTTTGTTGGGACGGTCCGGGACTTCTGCAAAAGACATCAAGCGATGATAAGAAAGTAGATCAGATAGCTTCATAAATTCTACTTGACGTTTGGTATCTCCTGATTCGGGTCAACCCGTTACCTTAAGCATTCGACTGCTGATAGTGTGCCGTCCGGATCGACCCTCAGTAGAACCAACGTGCGGGCATTGAGACCTCATTACGCCTTATCAACTCAGGTGCATAATTATTCGGGCCATACCTATCAGATGACGACAATCAATTCCAGCAGCGATTAGGCAGGATCGACCGCGACCTTATCAATGGACAGCCAAGTACTTGGCGTTGGGGGCACATCCGGGGTGGGGTATCGGCCGCGTCGGTCGGAAATGCGGAACCGCCCGACTGTAGACTGATACCCTCAACAGGCAGTTTGCAACTTTAGATTGTTGAGCGATGCAGAGTTTCTGACTTTGTCTTACGCTGATATAGCTATTCTTGCAAAATTTGAGAAATCGCAGGTGTTTTCTCGCGAACAACCGATTCCCCGAACCAACCAGCTCTCATTTCTTCGCACTCCGCCATACCAAAACCAATGTCTCATCACGCAGGTGTCAAGCCCATCACGGCCGCACCTGAAGACGCACAGGACGACGTCAAGAAAGCGCCAACATACGACGACGATATCGAAACTGCCAGTGAAAGAATCGGCTACAGTCATACCACTGACCAGCAAGATGCCACTTTGAACGGCGTCTTTGGCGCTGCTGCTGCCGCTGGTGGCGAACAGTTTCGCGTGTTGGGAAAGTGGAAAACGGGCATCGTATTGATTCATACCGAGGTTGGAATCGGCATTCTTGCCTTGCCATCGGTTCTCCAACGCATCGGCCTCATTCCCGGTCTCATCGCAATCCTGGGCATCGGAGCTTTATCCACTTACACGGCATATGTTCTCCTACTGTACTGGAAGAGGTATCGCCACATCGACAACCTCCCGGACGCGCTGCAAGTTCTTGGCGGCAAGGTCTTGGCGACTGTTGGTGCCGTCGGTCTCATCATCAACCTCAGTCTTGCTTGTGCCTCGGCGTGTTTGGCTATCAGCGTCGCTCTCAACACACTCACAGGACACAGCATGTGCACGGTGTCATTTATTGGATTCGCGGCGTTGATATGCTATGTGTTGTGTATTCCAAGGAAGATGAATTTCGTTGCTTATTTCTCATGTAAGTTTTGATACTTCGTATCTTCAACATTTGGTGTCTAATACCATCCATAACTCAGGGCCTGCCACGTTTGGCATATTTGTCCCAATTTTCATAGTTGTTATCGCCTTGGCCGTAGCCTCACCACAACTCGCTCCCCCCGGAGCCGACATCAAAATCAAGCTGTGGGGGAACCCAACTTTCCAAGAAGGATTCACCGCTATTCTCAGCATCTGCTACTCTTTCGGTGGCAGGCAAGGCTTCTTCACAGTCATGGCTGAGATGAAAGACCCAGCAAAGGATTACGTCTCCGCCCTGGTTATTTTGCAGTCCTTTGCCATCCCTATCTATCTCGTCACTGGAGGTGCCATCTATGGACTCGCCGGCGACTATGTCACATCCCCTGCTATTGGAACAGCTCCTTTGCTCCCAGCCAAGGTAGCTTACGGCATTCTCCTCTCGACCCTTTTCTGCACAGGCCTATTTTACGGTCACGCCGGCATCAAATACCTTTTCGTCGTAACCATGCGCGACTTGCTCAAGATCCCACACCAAATGACAACCAACACCGTCAAGTCATGGAGCATCTGGGTTCTCCTGGGAACAGGGTTCTGGATCTTGGTCTTCGTCCTCGCGAACGCTATTCCAGTCTTCAACTCTATCATTGCTGTGTCATCTGCCTTGCTGGTTGCCTGGTTCTCATTTGGGTTACCTGGAATTTTCTGGCTGCATCTCAATTGGAAACAACAATTTTCTAGCAAGCGCATGATCGGGCTGTCCTGTTTGAATTGGGGACTTGTGTTCATGGGCGCGTTCCTCAACACAGCGGGTATGTATGCGTCGGTTGATACGTTGGTGAAGGTGTTCTCGGACCCAGAGAGCACAATCAATGGGCCCTTTTCGTGTGCTGATAATAGCTTGTTTTGAACGGTATTTCGGCTGCGGAAGTTTCTCGTCATAAGCGAGGTGGAACAAACGCCTCACCACAGGCTGATGATAGGCTGTGTTATGCTACTGCGTACAATTCAGAGAGACTTTTTTCCTTGCCGGTTGAAATGACATGGGGAATACTATCATAGATTTTTATCAAATAAGGATAGCCAGACTTTTCATCGTCCTAGAATACTACTTGAACACTAGCCTGATTAATTTGACAACGTCGCATCGAAGTCTAAGGGATCAACAAAACAGACCTTGCTTTCACGGAAGAGGTGACACAAAGCATTCCATGACAATGTACCGGATTTCTTGCTAAAGAGATCCCTAATCACTATACCCATAAACCCTGAAGTCCATCGTCAGAGGTTCCTAACACGGGGTCCTTTTCCGGCTTAAGAACCGCCCACTCCTTCTCATATCCTCCATGATGCTCCCCACCCTTGCAAGAGTCCCAATACCCTCCGCCCTTTGGATACGCCCCGATCATTGTAAACCCCGTGATGCGGTCTTGAGTCTCTTTTAATGCCTTGCCAATGTCCCCTCCCGCAATATGATGTCCATCCCCAGGGGTCAAGAGTGTGAACGAGGCTTCAGGCTTGGTGTTGAATGTTTTGTGTGCTGTGCCTGCGGGCAGGACGAACACGTCGCCTTCATGGGCTTCCAACTCGATGCCTCCTGTCTCCTTATCCTTTCCGCAGGTGTTTTCCTTCATGTCCAGGGTGGTGTCTGCAACGCCAAAGCGGATCGTAGCTGAGCCGGAGAGGACAGCCATACACTCATGAACGCCAGAATGGTAATGAGAGCGTTGCGTCTCGCCGTATCGATAGATCCACTGGACTTCCCAGCCATTGTCATTGAACGTTTGGCAGACTCTGATGGCCGTCAAGTCATCTTGGGCTGAGAAGTAGCTTGGATAATGCAGAAGTGGATGTGGTGAATTTGGCATGAGTGCCGTCGCCGGCAGATGATACTTCCGGACATCAACCATGTTGGCGATTATTGAGAACTCATGTGAATGCAAAATACGGATCTAAAAGGCACACAGTTGAGCGTGTTTTAGGTCGCGTTTGGGACATCTGTTATCAAGACCATTCAGCCTTTGCCGCAGACACGCTGCGTCTCACGCGTCATTGATGCCCATAACGTCCCGCACCCACTTTCCGGACACCCCCTCATTCCGGACACCCAAAAATTATGCCCCCATATATCAACGCAGTAACTTAAACCTAGGACTTCTGCTATTCTGATGCAACTATAATACAACTTTCGCTATCACTAGGGTTTTCAGACTCGCTGGATTCATTTATACTATTTTCAAGTTCTCCCGCCTCGATTTGAGCCCTCCGAATAGCCTCAATATCAGCAAACTTCGAATTTGGGCTCATTTTGACCTTCTTGCGTTTCCTGGCCCTACTGGCATCAACCTCTGCTTGTAGTGCCTCAATCTTTCGCTGGGCTACTGCCAGTTGGTATGCCTTCTCATCAAAGCCCTTCTGAACCTTCCGAAAAAGCAGGCGTTGCGTATGCTCATCGTTATCCAGCTTGCTGAACAGGCTGAACTGATCCTGAAGCTCATCCCTCTTCTTGGGGGTTGACCAAAGGACTGCTGATGTATCTGCCGCCCATTTTTCGCTTGCTTTGCCATCAGAGAGCCCTTTGCAGACCTGACCAGCTGGTTTGGCAGGGGTTGAAGTGTTCTCAAGCAGCAGAGGGCTCATGAGGGGTCTAGCCATACTGATAGGCCACAAACCAGTCCATTTCCAGCCACTGATGATATTCTTGCTTGTCAGGGCTGCCTTACGCGCCTTGCCATAGCATACAACGAAATTTCTCTTGCCCACAACTGTACCAGCATCCCATTCAGCAAGTAATCCAAGCTCCTTCTTGTATGCTGCCTTGAGGGGCCCAAAAACCGACTGATCAAGTGGCTGAAGGACGTGTGACGTGTGTGCTGGCAAGAACAGCAAGTGTATCTTGTTTCTGAAGCATGTATACATGAAAGCAGTAGTCTCATGGCTTCCATGACCATCCAAGATCAACAATCTGACCTCTGAGGGGTCTGCTGGCTGGGTAGAAGGTATAAAGACCTCTGTTAACCACTTAACAGCTGTAGAGTCTGAAGTCCACCCGTTTTCTGTTGCTGTGAACTTCCAGGATTCGTATGGCGTCAGATCTAGAGGAAACCACTGCTGCTGGACACTCTTGCCCTTATATATAACAAGTGGAGGCAGTGCCTTGCCAGTTGCAGAGATACACTCAATTAGAGATGTCTAAGCACGCGATCCAGGCTGTTTCTTGCGGATAGAACGAGTTTCTGATGATCCAAGAACAAGCCTATTTGATCCTCTGCCTTCCAGAATACCAGACTCATCCATATTGTATCGATTGGAGGCTTTAATGGCTATGATCTCAGGGATGGCGAGGTGCTTGAACCATTGCCTGATGACATTAGTTGAGGCTCCGTTGATGCGCTGGGAATCAATTGCTCTGCTTCTCTGGACCCTTACAGATGGGTTTCTCTTGATAAAAGCCTGAACCCAGTTCTTCCCTAGAGGCTTGGCGTCTCCATGGATCTGTAGGATACGCTCAGCGAATTCCTTGAGTTGTTGATGGGTTGGTGGTAGGCCTAGGGCAGCCTGGATTCGAATCCATTCAGCCAAATGGCTTTCTTGGGTTGGAGAGAGCCTCTGTAGATCTGAGAAGGCAATATCTCTTGATTGGGTGCCTTGGATACGATCATAAAGAGTAGACTTTGGGACCCCATACTGCAATGCAGCTTTTCGCACGCTAAGCCCATTAGAGATCGCATTAAGAGCCTGATTAATCTCATACTCTGTATATTGACTCATATGGTCTAGAAGAAGATGTTAGATAAAGATGGAAATAAGTGAGATTAAGGTGGTGAAGCTATTCAGGATCAAAGTTGTATGAGAAAGATTTTATTGAGGCATTTTTAGGTGTCCGGAATGAGGGGGTGTCCGGAAAGTGGGTGCGGGACGTTAATAAACACCCAATACAACAACGGCTCAATCCGAGTAGGTGATGACAATGGAAAGTGTCGTTGAAGGCAAATCGGCCTGGGCCGGAATGCCGTGTGTATGGTACTCCTTGAGGAACAACCCGAAGACCGCTATGTTCTCCGCGTAGTGGACTTAGTCGGGAATCTTACAGAGTGACGAGCCCGTTCCCGTCGTTTTTCATAATCAAGGATTGACTTATTTGTTGCAGATTGCTCACGTAAAATTGCTGATTACATTCGGTGACCAAACTTTGAGCAAGATAGAACGAGCCATGGATGCGACCGTGTTTGTTGTGCACTACGCATCATCCCATGTGCCCCTGAATTTATACCCTCCCAATATATCACGCCTGGAACATCAGGAAGACAATTGCATTGTAGATCAAACCATCGCAATGCAAACTTCAATATACTAACAACATCTATGAAAGAAAGCTTCCGTTTGTCTCCTCCAGAACCAAGTCATACTCAGGCTTGAACTGCATGAAGACGACTTCTGGTGTTCCCGATCCCGCTTTTGTGAACCTGGCCGCCTCCTCCGTGACATATGGCTTCTGCACACCGTTCGCGGCGGCAGCTTCGGCCAGTAGTTGTGCCTGGCATGCCTGCTCAAGGGCGATGAAGAAAGCGGCTGCCTCGTCCACAGTTCCGCCGCAGGTAAGGATTCCATGATTCTGAAGAATGACGTTCTTGTGGTTTGGCCCCAGCGCCTTCGCGATTCTCTCCCCCTCGTCTTGAGCAAGAACAACGCCGCTGAAGCCGTCGTAAACGGAGAGGTCGTCGTAGAACATGCAACAGTCCTGGTTCAACATCTCGATGGGTTTTCCGAATGCAGACCAGGCTCTTCCATTGGGTGAATGACAGTGTGCAGCCGCGTTAACGTCCGACCGGGCTTTGTAAAGAGCCGCATGGATCATGAAGCCTGCTCTGTTGACTTTGTGGGTTGTCTTGGTGAGAGGTTTTCCCTCTTCGCTGACGAGGATGAGGTCGCTGACTTTCAGAAGTTTGAAGTGGACGGCGTAGGGGTTGATCCAAAAGCACTTTGGGTCGACGGGGTCGCGTAGGCTGATGTGGCCGCCTGCACCATCGTTGTAGCCGAAATTTGGCGAAGATGCGAAAAGCACCCACGAGGTGTTCTTTTGCCCATTGACGTTCAACGAGAGGATTGGTGAATGTTGGAATTACGTGAAGTTTGCTGATAAGATCCGGTACGTCATCAGAAGGATGTTGAGGACTTGTGTCGCTCATGACAATTTCTTGAGGAGGGGTCTGAGTGGTAGACTCAACCATCTTGATGGTTGATGTAGCCATGTTTGTGTAGATGTTATGAGCTTGTCCGAATAAAACAGAGATTCCAAACTCGGGTCTTTCACCGGAAGGTCGCTACCAAACACTTCACAATGAAGTCCAGATTGGATTGCTTTAAATCACAGTATCATGCATGGGTCACTCGGGTGATGCACCAATAAGCCCAAAGACTATTACCGGTGAGGGGATACTCCATTATTACCTCCTCACCTTTTTCAGTCCGTTGCGGAGTATGATTACCATAGTCGGGCCAACCCGACCTGATATCAACCACGCCCCTCTTCGGTCGGCCTGGGCCGCATTGTCTGATTGGCTGACGTGCATGCCTCCAGATGGCATCCTCCAACATTTCGACACAAGCATCGAGAATAGCTCTCCAAATTGCAGTTACATCCTTTGCCAAATAATTCGGGGTCGTTGAGCACTGATTTTCTGGAATCATTCTAAGCTGAAGTGAAACGCTCAGTGAGACCTTCACTCATTCGTACTACCCATCTTGGCCCAAGTCATGGAGACCTCCACACCGCAATCTCTAGGCCGCAAGCCCAGAGTCCTATCTATTGCATCTCCTTCCTATGCAGGCGAAGACTTTGTGTCAACGTTCCAATCTACTTTTGACCTTCATGTAAGTTCAATCCCTGACACGGGGATTCATGAATGGGTACTAACGATAGATCAGATCATCTTGCCTAGCGACAGGAAAGGCACAGTCCAAGCAATTTCAGACGCGAGGAAGTCCGATGGACCGTTTGAAGCCGTTCTGATTGGCATGGGCAACGGCAGCTACGAGAGATTTGACGAAGGCCTGCTGGGCCCACTACTGCCGGAACTCAAAATCGTTGCCTCCGTAAACGCCGGGTACAGCGAATTTGACATGGAATGGTTCAACAAAAACAAGATCGTGGTGACCAATACTGTTGACGCGGTCGCTGAGCCGACAGCAGATATTGCGATATTCTTGATGCTTGGAGCTCTCAAGGACACCTCCAGACTTGAAGCTGAGATTCGAAATGGTGGATGGCGTGGTGGGTCAAAGCTTCCCCTCCTGGATCCCAAAGGCCGAACGCTTGGGATCATAGGAATGGGAAAGATCGGAAAGGTGTGACACTCCAATATCTGATACGAGTGAAAGTATGGCGCTGATTCTTCCTTACCACTCAGCATGTCGCGCGCAAGTCGCAGGTTTTCGGTATGAATGTGCAGTACTACAGCCGGACCCAGCTTTCACCCGAAGAAGAAAGCCGCCTCTCTGTTGAGCATGCGGGTAGTCTGGAAGCCCTGCTCAAGACATCTGATGTCGTGTCAATCAACTGTCCACTCACTCCCGAGACACGAGGCTTGATTGGTTCTGATGAATTCGCAAAGATGAAGGATGGCGTCATCCTTGTCAACACTGGCCGTGGGGCAGTGGTGGATGAGGCAGCCTTCATTGAAGCGTTGGAGAGCGGCAAGGTTGCCCGGGCTGGTCTCGATGTTTTTAACAGAGAGCCCAACGTCAAGTGAGTCACAGCCTGGTCCAGGAACCCATGGTTTGAACCGAAGTTTTGAAAAGGCAGAACTGACCAGACCTGGCAGCTCATACTTCCGGAATAGCACCCGGTGTATTGTTCAACCGCATATGGGATCTTGGACTGACGTAGCCTGGGGGAACGCTTATCGCGAGGCTATGGATAACATCACAGCTTTTTTTGCGAACGGGAAAGCTATTTCACAAGTAAACTGGTTTTAATTTGCGCTGAATTTGATTCGGTTGGAAGCATTCGCGTCCGCCACCCGAGTGTTTGCCGTCAGGGCCGCAGGGGAAGCATGAGTTGTGTGTGTCAACACCCACATCGATGAACCTAAAGCCCAATAGAAATCATTCAATTTGTGCTTGATAGCCCGCGTGAATTCGACAAGCTTGACAACTTTGAATATTTTAGAAGGTCACTGGCGGTGGCGCAGGACCTCGTGTGTCACTGCACCAAGCAGATGGCCCCCAGGGTGGTGCTGCGTCGTAGCTGGCGTCCAAGATTGGCGCTGAGGTCAGATGTTGAAGGTCCACAGGAGTCACAGGGGTAGTGTTCCTACGGTTGGATGCATTTGGGGGCGGCCCTAGGCCTCCCGCATGATTAGCCCTCCAGCCCTGTCAGTGGAACTGCAAGAGTATCAACGATTGCTGTTTGATTGGCTTCTCGCAGCTGCGTAGGGCCGCTCGTGAAGGCAGTGCTGACATGTTGACGCAGAACAGGGGTCCTGTAAGCACTAAAAGTTGCCCGCTTCCCGCGGTCCTGGAGCGGCGAAGGATTCGGCCCCCACAGCGCATGTTGACATGGCTGGTATTAAAAGGCCTTGCATGCCCGTCTTCCGAACTGTGAGTCACAAAGGAGATATCATCATTGAGGCTCACCGTCGGCAGGTCATTGTCAGTATATGAGTCTCGAAGCCCACACGGATGCTTCCCGATGCAAATCTATCTGTCGAACTCTTTGGTACTCGACCTCGTCGATTCTCATCTGCCATTACCTTCTTCTTTCATTTCGCCATTCAACATACGAAACGGTCCGCTCTACTATGGCACCCAAGGCCGATGGGAATCCGAAATCACAGCAATGCTGCGTCAGTCAGGTCAACGACACTTTCATGGCTTTCCAACAGTTCACTTCACCTACGACCAGATCATACAGCTGGCGAAATCTGGCCGCACCTGGCCATAGTTGAGATGCGAACCGACACGTCGACAGGCGAGGCAACCAGCTGCCTCATGCGGAATCCGAACTGGATGCTGCCTGAAGTCAGGCAAAGCCAGGCGACCAGGCGACTGACGCTATCGCGAGGCAGATTTCGAGGCGGAGAGTGAGGCGGAAAGTTTGGGCCGGAGGCCTCGCTGAAGTCTCACCGCATGCAGGCAGAAGCGCCCTGAAATCCTTCGACACCCCTGACGGAGCATCAATTGGGCGACATCAGCTGCGCTGTATCTCAGCACCGCCTGTTCTCCACTTCAACGAGCCCGTCCATCCACCTCTGAGCTCTTCTTTTTCCATTTCCATTTCGTTCATGATGGCTGAGTAGCAGCATACTGCGGTATCGTCCCCTTTCTTCGCCCAGCCACAGTTGGTCGTTGAGCAATCAGCCTGATTTTCCCCTGCAAATATTCAGCATCAGTTCCAATCTTCTACAGCGCGAGTGTCCTCTCGCCGTCTGCCAGACGCCGGGGCGTGGACATGTCTGAAGTCAGACTTGACATTGCCTTGTTGATAGGCATTTGCGCGTTTAAGCTGTTATCCCGAAGAAAATCTGCAACTGCTTCTAGTCAGGCAGTTGATCAGACTGAAAGAGGTCCAAAAGGACATCAGAAGAAGAACACGGCAAGACTCCATGCGAGAAGTCGTCAAGCGTTGTTGCTGCCGAAAATACCTCGGTCCGTGCCCCAATCGCCGGCCAAACCGGACTGCCTTGAATCACTCCGGGGCATAGCTCTGATTATCTATTGCTAGGTAAGTTGACCACTTCTTCTGTCCAAGTCTTCATTCCTCCGGGCCTTCAGATAAGGAACAACAAAGCAATGCATCAAGATGATGGGCTTATGGAAGGCGCCTACACCAATCAGTGTCTTCGGCATGAGCAACATGCATTCGGCCTTCCCATTGGTACCTGATTTCTGCATATTTCCCCAAACAGAGCCTGGACTCTTCGATAGTTGCACCTGTCTTTGATGTGCCTGCGCCTCGGAGTGGCCTACCTCCCCCACACACTCCGCCTGGAGCTAGCCATGGCCCCGAACCCATGACGAGGGGACCAAGCATATCATCCATGTAAGGCCTCTTCCCTCTCGACGATGTACGAACGGACAGCTCCAATTGGACAACGATTGAAGACTTGGCTATCAGCTCTGGGCCTGGATTGGTGCTGCCCGCGACGTCGATTCAACCCGAGGCAGCCAGCCCATTGCAGCACTGCTATGGCCGACGTGCAGGGGGGAGAAGGGGGACAGTCTTCAAGCTTAGATGGAGCTTTTTCTGGCGGTGGTTCGCACCAATCCGTATGTCCCTATAAATATTTTGGAAAAATGGAATCCTGAGGAACTCACCTCGTACATCTTCACGCCGTTGGAAGTACCACTCTAAGCACTCCGTGATCCGTGACGACCAGCGTTTTCGCCTCAACTTTCGACTCATTAGATCAGCTGCTCAGCGACCCGTGCCTCATCCGTCTTGAAATCATGGACGCCCGATCTGACCGGTCTGCTCACTACGGGTACCACCACCAACTTGCGTTGTCGCCGCGATTCAACGTTCGGTGACTCACTGATGCTTTCTAGCAATGCCGCTTCCAAATCATCCCACAAGCACTCTTCGGCGGAATCACAAAGCATACTAGCCAGGCGGCGCATGGCCGCCTACGAGAACCAACCTGCCTCCCAAGACAGCAACATGTACCGCGTCGCCTACCAAGGAACCAGCATCAGCGAAAGTCAGGCACAACACCGCGCCAGGATCGAGGCAGAGCTTGCCCGCATCACGGCTCAGTCAAGAGGAGGCAGCCCATAGAGTCTAACGACCCCAGGCTCCCTAAACTGGCGTCGCTGAGACGTACACGACCGCTGAACGGGCAGCCAGTCTCTTCCAAGCTATTAACTCCTGGTCTTGTTGCCGGCTACAAGCCAGACCTAATATACCAACCATTTCTTCATTATTCGACACGCGCACTGGCTTGACCTTCGGCATAGGGCGTTTGGAAGGGTGGCAGGCACGTAGAAGGTTTCACGGAACATGATTCAATAACACAACCCCATTTCTATATATTACCCCCAGGCATTAAGTTACGAGATAGGTCTCTTGGGACTTGATACATTGTCTTTGGAACGCCCATTTGGTCTCTCTTCACCTTATTGTACTTCAAGCCTCCTCCAGTGACGTGCTCAAAGCACATATCTAAAGTCCTTGTTCTCGAACTCAGTCTGGTCCCTCATTCCAGCTTCCTTGCTGCTCTCCCTATTGGGCTCGCCGTACTTCTTGTCACGTTGGCGATTGACCAGGTACATGTAGACTAGATGAGCATTAGCGGCCGTGGTAAAATAGGTTATAGGATCACTGACGACATACCGAGCAGAGTTAGGTGGCAGATCAACTTGATAGCGTAGCCGACTAGGAGCCCAATCGTAGCTCCTCGAAAGTGCGGCGCCTCCGATTGCTTTACTACGAATGGTCCAGCAAAGTTTCCCCAGCAGTACGCCGTGCTGCGACTTCACGTAAGCCTAGTCCAGTAAACGCTTCATTCAGGTGGATTCACAAAACCATGGCGCTCGCGAGAGAACGATGTGTGTATCCGGCCATGTTGGAAGAGATGGTGGTGAGGGATATTGTGAAGCCGACTGACTGAGAGTTCACCAGCCAGAATGACACAAGCCGACCCCAGGTATTCGACTCAGGTAGATATGCCATACAGGCAGCCGAGGTTGTGCAAAGCAGATTGGCTACCGAAGCTGTAATCAGACGCGCTATTTTCTACAATGTCAGTTACCAGAGCCTTACATTAGCTGCGGGGTGACTCACAATCCTTCACATTCAGGATGACAGTGCCCCCAATGAGGAGAGCGACGATCTGAACCGCATCTCCAACCGACTTGAGCTGCGTGGTCTGTGTTGTGCTGAACCCCATGTCACGGATGATAACAGTGGAAAAAGAGTTGACAACCCCGTTGGGAATAGCTCTGTGCTCTTATCAGTAGGGGGGTTGTCTCATGAGAGGCTGCTACTGACGCTGCAAAAACGGACGTGAACAGCAGCAGAGTCTTTGGGTCGAAAGATCCCAAGAGAGCCTGTTTCTTGTCGAACGCTTTGTTCTTAATGCCAGTCTCGTTCTCAGAGACCCGTTTGACTGCAACAAGTCTTTCGCGGTGGTTCAGGAAGAACGCGTTCGAGGGCGAGTCTGGTAACAGAAACCAGATCACCAGCGACCAAACGCACGTCACTCCACCCAGCTTCCGAGATGTTCTCGTCAGGCAAATAGAACAGTCTGTCCATGCTAAACACGTACCATAAAGAAGATGAGTTCCCAGCGTTCCGGTTTCAGGTCAGCGGGGAGCTTGGACACGCCCATAGAGATGTAAGATCCGATCTCAGCACAGCGTTAGCTGGTGTTAGGTTTTCGTTTTCAGTTACGCAGAAAATACAGCAGACTCACGATACCTCCCCAGCCAAGAGACGAGCTAGGCATAGTGTCAGCTGATGTATGAGGCTCGGTGTGCTTTGACATGACACATACTACCATATGCACTGCCGAAGGGGTATCTCTTTGCGCGTATACCAGAAACCCGTCATGAGTGTCAAACCACTGGGTTCATTGTTAGAGACGTACAGCCTTTTCACTTTATTGGAAATTACCCACGGTGTAACGGCGGCTTCGAATATTCCCATGATGACTACCACGCATGTCAGCCATACGACGCTTAGCTACGGACAAAGGTGCGCACATCGGACACCCACTACAAGCATTGTCAATTACCTAGTAGTTTTGGTTAAAAGGATAATTGGGGGCTTGCGTACAAGCACTTGAGTAAGTTCGAGTTTGAGTCATTAGAATTACCATCAGACCCCAGAAGAAGATGCTGATGGCCATCACTCTTTGAGCAGGATATCTACCAATTAGCCAGCCGCAAGGATACTGGCCAAAGAAATACCCAGCATATACCACTGTGATAACACTTTAGCGATGCTGGCTTCGACCACGGCAAAGTAAATAGGACTCACTCGCTGAGAGGTAGTTGAACTGTTGGCCCTGAAGATTAAGTGCTGCTTGGTACCCAAAGAGGTTGGCATAGTTCAAGGACGTCTTATCCATGAACTGCAGAGCTTGGGTGACAAGAAACATGGGTAGGATGGTGAAATCAAGCTTCCATCGAAGTCGTCGCAGCTTTCGGTCGAGTTATCAGAAGTTGGGTCACTTTCGCTTCGAACCCACATCCACTAAGGGAAGAAGGAACAAACCTCTTTATCCGAGACCTCCAAGTCTATGGCTTCTAGGTACTCTCTATATCCGACGGCTTTCTCTTGGTGTTCTGCATCTAACTCCTGAAGTTTAAGATCAGACGAGGGTAGGACTCCCCGGTCGATATCACCGACGCCACTCTGTGGCTTGATAGGAGGGTCTGTCATTTCTGTTAGTATGATACTGAATCACGTCGCTCTTCAAACGAAGTTTTTAAGATGCAGATTATAATTGAACGTCCTTCGGACTTGAGAGGTTGCGGTAAGTAGAAAGAAGAGGAACGCCTCATGGTTGAAGAAGCGCTCATAATCAATCCTAAGGAACTAACCCCATGGGTAGCTTATGCGGGGAAAAGATCACAGGAAGACTGCGGGGAACCCACATCCCGCTGATGGCGGCATGGAGTGCGGGGGTCAGCACGCTAGGCAGATCGGATTCCTCCACTGATGTGGTCACTGTTTGAGTATGTGGTGTGGGTGACAAATCTGAGCGAGTGAGGAGAATGACGTCTGTTATCAACAGCCTGGCTGAGCCGATTTGCCGACAGCAAGGGAAACATCAGCCGACCATAAGACAATGCGTGACTACGGCACAATGGAATCTCATTAAGCTGGTAATAAGAATCGGAATCCAGCCAGCTTAGCATTCAACAACAGCCCGTAAAACCACCCAACATGTCTACGGACAAGACCCCAGGATATCTCGCCAAGCCGAGTGGTGAGTGTTGTCTCAAAGGCACGATCCACGAAGGTGAAGCACGTGGGTCCTGGGAAGTGATCGCAGATGTCGAGACTTACGTATCAAAACCGCCTACCGACAAGGAAAACGGCCAAATTGTGCTTTACTTCCCTGATGTCTGGGGTATGTTTGTCAACGGACTCCTGGTCATGGACGCCTTTGCGGATGGAGGGTACCTAGTATTGGGCATCGATTATTTCCGTGGGGTGAGGACGTTTCTTGAAGCACGCACTGATGACATGGAGCTGACTATTGCCGAAGGACCCAGTCTGGAAACATCGAAAAGACCGGAATGACACCTCGAACCCTGACTTTGACTACGAGGCTTGGAAACGCAAGCACACAGCTTTCGCGGATGTTGCTGTGCCCAAATGGGTCGACGCGGTCAAGCAACAATACGGAACGGAAACGACGGGGCTCGCTTGCGTAGGTTACTGTTTTGGCGCGCCGTACGTCTGCGATGAGCTGGCGAAGAATACAGTCACAGTTGGCGCATTTGCGCATCCGGCGTTTCTGAAGGAACGTCACTTCCTCAATCTTAAAAGTGAGATTTTGTCCATTTTTTGAAGATTCCCCAAGTCCGCTGCTGGATGGATCGGTGGTTCAAGGCTGCGAGGGAGTATGAGCTGATCTCACTGTGCTAGAGCCCCTCTTCATGTCCTGCTCCGAGATTGACCGTACGTTCGATGTACCATCTCGTAGACGAGCGTTAGATATTCTTCAGTCCGAGAAGAAGATCTATCACTATCAACTATTTTCGGGCGTTGAGCACGGGTTCGCTTTGCGCGGCGATCCCAAGCATCCGTACCAACGTAAGTAGCTCTACTGCTTGGAATACATCTGGACGTATTTAAATAACTAAAATTTCTCTAGGATGGGTGAAAGAGCAGAGCCTGGACGGGATTGTGAGTTGGTTCAACTATTGGCTGTCTTCTCCTTCATCCACAACGTCATAATCCGAGTCGTTGTGGGCGCTTCTGTAGACTTCTGTAATCATGGGAGTCTAGAATATTGGGAACGAAGCGATATTTGCATCGCAAGAGTCAACACCGATGGGTCTTTTTACGGCGGTCACCATTGGTGATTGTAATGTGCGGGAATGCTTACAATGTACCAAGCTATGGGCAGATTGCTTGAGAGGAGCATGGCATTATTCAATTGACATACGTATTGGGGACAGCTGGATTAAGACTATGGCTTCAAATCCTCTCTGTAGATTGTTTCCTGAATGGAAAAAGGAAAAAGCGCACGGAATACCCTTCATCAATCGGCAAGCCACCACAAAGTGTGCAGGCGCTGGTTCTACTCCATCTGAAGTCTGTCAGGTGTGTAAAAGATTGCAATACCCCGCTTGGTATCCCCGAACTCCGCTGCCGTGTGATGTCATGAAGGTTATCATTTTCCGCAATAGAAAAACAAGCGGATTGTTACTACAATTGGCTGCATCGCAAATCAGGAAGCTCTTGGGGTACGCGCCTAGACTCGGATCATCTTCTCAAGAACATCTCGAACTACCGATGCTCACATGTAACAGCAATTGAAACAAATTTTACCCGAAAGACAATTGAAGATTAAGCAAGCCGCCGGTATGGTTCCTCCTCGAGCTTTCGACTTCGCAGGAGATGTGGCGATCGTCACAGGCGCAGGCTCACGAATGGATCGTCTGTTCGCATGGTTCACCAACGCGGTCAATTTAGTCTATAGTATACTAACATACTTCAGGTGAAATTGGGAACGGTCGGGCTGCAGCAATCCTCCTTGCCAGGCATGGAGCCAAAGTCGCATTGCTTGACTTGAATGAGGACTGGGCTAGAGAGACCAAACGAATGATAGATGAGGAAGGTGGGACGTCTGAAATCATTCAGACGGACGTCAGCAAAGAGGACTCTTGCAGAGATGCGGTTTCTAAGACAGTTGAGCTATTTGGTGGCGTTCATATACTGGTCAATAACGGTAAGTGAAATTTTCTTGAAAGCATACGGCTTGTGAATGACAAGTCTGACTTCATGGACAGTTGGCGTGGGGGGCGCTATCGGAAATGCCACGAACATCAACCTCGAGGCATGGGAAAGAGACTTTCGGATCAACGTAACGAGCATGGTCATGATGTCGCGCTACGCAATTCCCGAGATGAGAAAGCAAGGGCGAGGTTCCATTATTAACATCTCTTCTGTTAGTGGTTGTAAGTCCAAGTGGTTAATGTTCTGGGCCGAGACATCGCAGTGCGACATTTCCCGGGTCTCACAACGAAGTAGTGAACACCGCTGACCAGTGAAACTGGCTTAGTACTTGGGGGTAACCCCAGTCTGCTCTATCCCACAACCAAAGGTGCAATCATTCAAATGACTAGAGCCATGGCTGCTCAACACGGCTCGGAGAACATTCGTGTCAACTGCATTGCCCCTGGCATGGTTTACACCCCTATGGTCCGTGGTCGTGGTATGACCGAGGAAACGAGACAAGCTCGGATCGACCAGAACTTGATGAAGAAAGAAGGTACGGCTTGGGATGTTGGGTACGGTACGTATTTGTGAACGGCTAGTGCAGACCGACTCGCAATGGAGTAAAATCAGCTAATCACGAAGGTGTAGCCATTTTGTTCCTTGCTAGCAAAGAGGCTGGGTGGATCACAGGACTCGTTATGCCTGTTGATGGTGGTGTATGTCTTCTTTGCCCAGCGACATCTCTACTAGCATATGGTGTGCTGATAGACTTAGACAACCGCTGGCAGATCAGATAGACCGGCTCTCATGGCCGATGGTCTAGCGGCTGAGAACACCGGTATTGAGAACTAAAGAATTAGTGAACAGCGGAAGCCCAGGAACGAGACCTGCTGGGGGGGGGGGGGGGGGGGAGGGGGTAGTGGGTAAAACAACACAGGCGTAATTATCTCTGGAACTTTCGTGTATTCTGGTCAACCTTCGAAGGCATGAGGTTGACTACTTTAGCTGACTACTCATGGTGCCGTAGCCATACCATTCCTCGCTAGCAAAGAGACATGCTGTATCACCGGTCTCATCGTGCCGGTCGTTGACGGCGTAAGTGGGAGTTGCCATGAATTCAGTTTGAGAATGTCAGGCTCATCTTTGAGTTTAGAACACTGCCGGAAGGGCGGATAGACCAGCAGGCAGACGCTCTAGCAGAGCACATGGTTGGCGACCAAGACTCAATCATTGGGCAAAAATCAAAAAGCACATGGCGAGACCCTCCACATGGGATCCCTTCATTAAAGGACATTCCGACTCTACTGTCCCGATCATGTCGACCATTTTTATACATCGAATTCTGTTTCTCACGACCGACTACCATTTCAAGCGTATTCGTTCACCCAGCCGCCCCGGCCGAAAGAAGCAAGTACCGCAGTTGACACAGGACGAAGGCACACTCGTTGTCAAATTCGTCAGCAACGAACATCTTATAGTCCGAGTTAGTCGCGATCTAGTCTTCAAGGGCCATTCGAGGTCAAAATCTGAACTAGCTCTGGCGGTTTTTGAATTTAAGGGTATTCTTCGCGACGTAGAAAGGGAGGAAGACGAGAAACTTGAGCGGCTAAGGAAGAGGAGAGGTCCGTCGCCTGGCGAGACCTGGTTCGAACGCGCCCACCCAATGGGTTATTGGAACTAGTGTTATTAACCTTGTCGGCAATGAACTTGTGCGCTGAGACCCGGTCTTCGCTGATGGTGTTTCCTTTCCTTCTCTGTTACTCTGGTAAGAGGGGGGGAAAGGTATTCCATGAATGTCAAGTAAATAAGAGTATGGCAATTATTTCATTCACACCTGATACGCAATCATCTCTATGGACTGAAGCTTTCTACACTTGGGATCTTTGCAAACTCTTAGACTTTGGGGAATTAATCGAGGTTTAGTTCAAAATACGCCACCCATCCAAACATCGTCCTCCGTAATGGAAGACGACTCGGCCTCACTAGGCCCCATTGTACTGTGGCGAAAGCTCAGAGATAGTGTCAAAAACGTCGCAATTCATTGAGTTCTTCGAGAATTATGTCCAAGCTCAGGGTTCAGAAGCGCCAGCTGTATCCGCGGCAGCCCTCCAGCCGTAGACTACAAAGAACAAGCAACGAAAACTACTACCGGCATCCCATCCCGCGGCAGCGAATTAAGAAGCCGGTCAAATGAGCGAAATTTGAGGGAAACATTCTTGGCTTTCAAATACTCAAGTTGCGAGGACAAACACAAGCTATGCAGAAATCCTAAATTGTGTTCAGCGGCTCTTGGCCACCCATGCCAACCGTCCAGCATTTTGGGCCAGGGCCAGAGCCACACCAAGAGTCACCACTGTGAGCGTTCCGGTAGTCCAGCCAAACCAAGAAGATACGGCAGAGTTCTGAGGCAATTCGTCATTGTACGGTGTTGCATGGGGTCGTTCCGGGGCAGGGAGCTTCTCAATGCGTGGACCAGCGAGAGACTGCTTAAGTACCTCTTTGAAAAATAGGTCGTCCCCGAGCCAGGGCAAAACGTAGTGAATGAGAATTCCTGAAAACGGAGGCTGTTGGCAAAGAAATGAGCCATCACGACGACCCTTCTTCATCATGCTCGAGGCTCGTTCGTATCGAATAGCGCAAACTTCACCAAGCGCCTTCTCGATGAACTCGAGTTGCAGGTCTGGAGAGGATGGGATCTCGCTCCGCGTGAGGGCGTTGACGAGATTCGCTGCCGCCTCAATCGCACCATTTCCTCCTTGAGCAGCAATCGGATGGACCTGGAAGACGTTGTCAGCGCGTGTTTCCACGACAAAGCACATGTGCTCATGGTGGATGGGTCGCAGTACCTTGGTTGCCGCATCTCCGATGATCAAAATGCGCTGGAAATGCCACCTCCTGAAGACGTGCTCTTTTAATGGAACCAATGTAGACTTGATGCGGTTGTCGTAGAGATCCCCGAACGTCATGTCTTCCGTGATGTGCTCGTCTCGGTATTGAGTCGCGAGGAGCAGCTCGTCGTCTTTAGAAAACTTCGGGATGTCTTTTCCATGCTTGGTCCCATCTAATTCATGGAACAGAAACCGATGTACTCGGCCGCCTGGTGCCGATATGACCAGGTACAGGTGTCCACGGAAGAAGGAGGACTGTTGAGTGGCACCGGGTGGGAAATTCGTCGGCTATTTGGAAATGCCGAAGATGCATTTCATGCTCGATTGCACGACTGTGCGCATTTGTTAGTATGCCTGTCTTCACAGGACTGGGGCAACGGCGATGCTGTGGAAGTCTCTCTTCACTTACTTGATCTCTCCTCGGGAGGAAGTGCGTTCGGATCAGAGACACTGGCTATCCGCCACATCTCTTGTCGTACCTTAGTGTGAACTCCATCGCCGCCTACCAAGATATCGCCAGCATATGTCGATCCATCTTCCGTTTTCACCACAAATCCAGTAGATCTGGTTTCCACATGAACGACGCGCTTGTTGGCGAGTACTTTGTCCTTCTGCTTCAAGTTTTCGTACAGAATCTGCAGTAGCATCTGTCTGCCCACCCACAAGGATGCGTATCCGGCACTTTGTCTGTCAGTATCATGAGCATCGACGACTGAAAGGAATTGACTAACTGTTTCTCTATTCTTTCAGAGATGGTTGGACCGGGGTTTGAGGAAATAGGCTTCCCCTTGGCGTCGCGAAAGACCACTCAGTGGTAGTAGTTCCCAGCAGCTTCTCGAAGTCGCTCATAGCAGCCCAATTGGTCCAGAATACGCAGGCCGTTGGGAAGCAAGCCGATGCTGGCTCCGACTTGGGGCGCAATCTGAGAATACGCTTCGAGAATCGTGTAGTCGAAGCATGTTGGCAAGAGAAAGGCCGGCGACACTGCCGCCTACGATGATGATCTTGATACCCATGGCGTTTGCGTTGCACGATGAAGCATGAAATGACTAGCGATAATGGAACATCAAAAAGACTGGGAGAAATTGCAAATATAGATTCTCTGTGACCCATTTCACTGGCTTGGGATGGTCTCACCCGTGTTCAATGCCGCACGCTGATCGCAGCCTTCGGATCTTGGCAAGTTCCGCTCCGTCGGCATCGTGGTATCACGGAATCAGGACCTTGCATCCCGCGATATCCACCGGCCGCAGCACTTGGCATGTAACAGCTCGTATCGCCAGTTTTTCAAATACCAAGGCGTATCATCGCCTCCTGAGCCAAGTGTCCCCACAGTGTATTTATGGGATGTCGTGATAATAAGGACAAAGGGAGTAGCCGAATCTCCGATCTTCGGGACGAAGCGGGAGCGACCGATGCATCAGCGCACCTCCCTAGTCATTCAACTCTGCACCAGTGGATGGCCTTTACACCGTTTGCCCACTGTGTTGCTCTAGGTTTCTGGAGTCTCCAACTACTTTACATTAATGGTTCCCTCCAAAACTGTTCCGAAGGCACTTGAATCCCCCCAAGTCCGTCTGAAGGTCGTTGTAGAGCTTCTTGAGCCCAGAATTGGTTTCGTGCGACATAAAGATTTCCCTACTAGACCGCATGTTTCCAGACTCTCTCACAGCACAACACTTCTTCGCGTACTCGTTCTCATCAGCGCCTAATATGACGAAGTCTGTCTCATGGCAATGCTATAGAATCACAGTCCGTTTGTCCTAGTCATTGATTCAACAGACCTAAATTTGCACAATGCAGAAGTCAGAATCACTGCCTAATTCAATCAGACCATTACCTGCGACGGTTTGGTATGAGGCAATCCACATGATTGTGAATTTCGGAATGATGGGCCCACAACTTTCGCCGTCTACGGGCGCCGTCATGGGGCCGCAAATCCGGAAACCTAGTGTCTCGCCGCTGCTTCGGCGACTCGTTACTTGCGTGACCTCAGGTTGTCAGTCTGTCTACGGCTGTACGTAGATTAAAGCCAATCAGCCACGCACGATAAGTCTTCGACCGGCTCCTAGGGAAACTGCAGTTTGCCTCGGGCAACTTCTCTCAATGGAACCCGCTGTTACTGGTAGGTTCACGATTGTATGCATGAGAAACGCGGGGTAGGTGGAAAAGTTCGTTGCAATGTGTATTCCCCGTGGGGAACCATAGCAGCACCAGATACCAAACTCGAGAGATTCTGAGCAGCGTCGATGCTGCACTCGGAGCAACAACCTCAGCGTTCGGTATACCATCAAATGACTCGGTACTGAACTTAATGCTGTCAGATTTGAGGAAAAGACTCGGCTGCATTCTTCCAGATACTCAAAGTTGTTTAAGACTACCTGGCCATCGATCAGCACAGAGGCGCCTTAAGCTACAAGCCTTTTTTCATGCAATCAACACTAAGCTCTCGACTCCTGTATCAACCAGCAAACATGTCTTCTACCAAGAATGATGAGCTCATGGCATTCTCCCCTGCTCTAATGGCTAAGTGGGAGGCCGCAGCCGACAAAGCATCGAGAGACTTCCGCTCTGATGTCGTCACGGTTCCAACGCCAGACATGATGCAGGTATGGCAGATCTTTTGTATCTACGACATCTGTATAGAGTTTTATGGAATTGTTGGACTGACCTAGGGTACATCAAAGGCTATCCTCGAGGCCACGGTGAACGACGATATCTACGATGTTGACGGCGACCCATCCGTCAAGGCTCTCGAGGCTAGGCTGGTGGAGTTGACTGGCAAAGAAGCCGCTCTCTGGGCAATCTCTGGCACTCAAGGCAACCAGATCTGCCTCCGCACCCATCTGACCCAGCCGCCTCATACCGTTCTTCTGGACTACCGTGCCCACGTCCATTGCTGGGAGTCCGGCGCCCTGCCAGTCATGTCTCAGGCGTCTGCCACCACGGTTCATCCTAAGAATGGATTTCACCTGACTCTCGACGATGTCAAACCCAACATGATTGCAGATGGAAACAGTGAGTTGCATTCGGATCCGCAAAAGCAGAAGTAGTATGTGTAACAGTTGTCGTACTCAGTCCATTTCCCACCAACACGTGTGGTGTCTCTGGAAAACACCCTCAGTGGTACAATTCTTCCCCTCAAAGGCGCCCAGGCCATCTCGGAATACGTGCGATCCTTCCCCGTACCAGAGGGACAGAAGCCAGTGGCAATGCACCTCGACGCCGCGCGTTTGTTTGACGGTGTCATTGGCGAAGGTGTGGATCTCAAGGCGTATGCAGCTTGTTTCGACAGCTTGTCCATCTGCCTGGCAAAGGGAATCGGTGCACCTATGGGAAGCGTTATCCTCGGAAGCAAGCAGTTCATCGAGCGTGCCAAATGGTTCCGCAAGATGTTTGGAGGTGGCACGAGGCAACCAGGAATGATGGCTGCGGCCGCGCTAGAAGCATTGAACTACACCCTTCCACGCATGAGCAAGGTTCATGCATTGACTAAGGCAACAGCGGCCAAGATCGAAGAATTGGGATACAAGTTCGCGCTCCCAGTCCAAACAAACATGATCGTTCTTGATCTGGCCGCCGTTGATATCCCGGCTGCTGCGTTTGTGGACTACTGCGCCAAACGTCGACTGGCAGTCTTCCCGAACGGAAGGGTTGTGCTTCATCACCAGAGTACATCGGAAGCAACTGACGCGCTGGTAACTGCATTAACGGAGCTCATGAGGGACAAGAGTGATGGGAAAGCTCTAAGCAATGCCGAGGTTCATGGAGGATATTCCTAGATTCGGACAAAATAAACGGACTGTCCCGGCGGCCCATCTCCGGAAATAACAGCATATACTTGAATACCATCTTATAAGCAGCAACATTTAGATTCGTTGGGTACTAGACACAGCATTTATCATTTCCCGAGATGACTCACGAGCGTGATAGGATGAGGTGTAATTAAGGTCAACATAGCATTCCTCCCACAAATACCGAGCTCCCCCCGATGTTTAGCAATCCAATGCCAGACGTGCCTTTGGAGCAGACGAGGACGCCTAAACACCAACGCAGACGGCATACTCGGGCCACAAGTTCTGGCAATCAGACCCAAGCGCCGGGTTCCACTCGACAAACGTCGCGTGGTCAGGAATGCCGTACTCCTGCTGAATGCCCCAGCACCCCTCCCCGGACTTGACAAGGTGGTACTTTTTGCAGCTGGGCGTGATCCCCTCCTGCATCGGCTCGACCGGCTCCGACCCGCCGGGAGACGCGGGGCCCTGGACACAGTAGGCGTACGTCGGCCACAAGCCCGAGCAGTCCCCGTTGAGGGCGGGGTTCCACTCGTAAAAGTCGGCGATGGCCCAGCATCCGTCCCCGGACGCGGCGACGTAGTACTTGCGGCACCCCTCGACGATCCCGGGCTGCGTCGGGCCGGGGGGCTCGACGGGCTCGGTGGGCGGCGTGCCCGAGCCGGCCGTGTCCCTGACGCAGACGCCGCGCTCCGCGTCTTCGGCGAGGTCGGCGTAGAGGCCCGCGTCGCAGTCGGATTCCTCGCCGATCCACGTGTTCCACCTGACCAGGTCGCCCACGGTGATGTTCCTGTCCTCGGTAATGTCCGCGCACAGGAACTTGCCGGCGTTGAAGCCGCTGATCTTGGTGAAGCAGGCACAGCCCTCGACGGTGCCGGGCTCGGGGGTCTCGACGTCGAGGCACCCGCCGTCCAAAGTGTCAGGGGCTGCCGTGTTTCTTGTGTTAGCACACGTTTCACGAAAGGGGGGAATTCGTGCTCTCAGGAATAATCTCACCGGTAGCGTTGCCGTACGCTCCGCAGTATCGGAGGTTGGGCTGCAAAACACACGGATCCACGTTGCTTAGGCTTGGGTTCCACTCGATGAAATCCTCCATCGTGATCCTCTGCGCCGCGACAACGTAGTCGCAGGCGTTGATGTTATTGGTCAGCTGCGGAACGTCGGGCTGCTGGCTCTGGTCCTTCTGCAAGGGGACCTCGACGTGCTCGACAAATTCGCGGCAGCCGCCCGCCTCGTCGCGAGAGCCGGAGGCGAGAGGGTGCTCGACGACAGGCGTCTCACTGGGCTCCACGGTCTCGATGGCCGGCTGCATGGTGGTGACGTAGTCAGGCGGTGTGAGGGTGTAGGGCGGGGAGGTGGAATAGGGATAGGAGGGGTAGGTGTTGATGTCGCCGACGGGCTGGACGCAGTAGGATGTGTTGAGCCACAAGTTCCCGCAGCCGGGGTCGTCGACCGACGGGTTGAGGAAGAAGAAGTCGCGGAGCTCGACCGAGTTCTTGATCGAGATCATCTGGCAGTAGTCACCCGTGCGGATCTCGTACCACGCCGCGCACCGCTCGTTGGACTCGGCCTTGGCGTTGGAGGGCCTCGGGACTGGCGTGGCTGGCGGCTGCGTCGTGGTCGGCGGGCTGGAGGGGACGGCGGTGGCGTCGGCCAGGGTCCTCCCCGGGGGACTGACGCAGATAAGGTGCCCGACCATGTCATCGAGGTTGGTGCAGAGGGGGCTGATGTTGGGGTTCCAGGTCAGGAGGTGCTGGGCCTGGAGACCGGGGACGGCCTCGAGGATGTCCTCGCAGCTATCGTCCCACTTGACACGGTACTGAGCGCACCCCTCGGGGAGGCAGAGCTGGGTGCCCGGGACGAGGTTCCTGCAGCCGGGACCGGTGACGCCGGCCCTGATGACTGCGTTGGTCGACACCTTGCGCGCCGTGGCGATGGAGTCGCACGTGTCGCCCGGCTGGACGGTGTAGGGCGAGGCGCACGCCGGGACGTCTGTGGACGTCGGCGCGGGCTTGGTGGTGACGGCGTACGCGGCAGGCGTGGTGAAGTCATAGCCAGCGGCGCCGCAGCTGGCCGTGCGGGACTTGAAGTCGGCTGCGAAATCTGCGTCGAAGCCAAAGGGCGAGCCGAGGAGGACCTTGGCGGTGCCGAGGGAGCAGCCGGAGCAAGGACCGGCGGCGGTGCGGTTGGCCAGGTTATCGAGGTACACCTCGTCGCAGTACACGCCCGTGTTGCCATCCTGGGCGCAGGATAGATCATAGGCGTGGATCATGCGGTCGACCATGTAGGTCGCCGGATACACAACCCGGTCAAACTCGACAACGTCGGTCTCGGCGCCACAGCCTGAGGCGATGGTCCGGCGGGCGGCAGCCAGGGAAGACTGGCAGCCCGGTGTGCAGAGGGCCTCCAACATCTGGGACTCGACGCGGGGGACGGCGGCTGCATGGGTGGCCAGGAAGCCGGGACAGGTCTGTACCGTCGTGTTGAGAGCTTGGTAGCAGCTCTCTCTGAGCCCGGGGTAGCGGGCGTAGCCCAGCTTCACGTCGGTGAACTGTTGGGCGTCGACGAAGCCCATGGGAGCAAGCAAGTGAATCGCAAGGGGCAGAGCCCACGAGCGAAGGGACAGGTCCATCATGGAGAAAGGGGAAAACGAGCGACGTAGACAGCAAAGAGTCAAAAGAGCGTAGAGATGGGCTGTATAATGAGCATGAGACCCCAAAGGTGCGAGGGTTCTCGACAAGAAATTTCTGGGTTCGGGCGACACTGCCATAAAGAGGGAAGTGAGCTGGTCCAGGAAACAAACCATGATGCCTACAGCCATCACAAGCCCATTCGAGTCCAGCTCGGAACCTGACATGTCCGCTCGCATACCTTCGTCACCTGGCGACTTTCTCTCATCCCACAGTATGCCCCCCTATTCTCATTATCACGAGGCCTCAAAATGGATTGACCTAGGCTTCAATGTGATCATAACCCATATCAATAGCTTATCTTGGCAAGCTTTCATGAGTCGTACCTCGGTGCAACGCTGACAAGCAACGCTGACAAGACCGGCCATCGTCACATCCGGGATGGGACTCTGTCTTGCCTTGCCCCTGCATCCCGCAGCCCTCGGGCTGACCCTATTGAGTCTAACTTTAACTCTATCCGCACTTTTAACTAAAATCGCCGCGATGTTCCCGACGAGGCTGATGCCTAAATGCAGCCAAGGCTGACGGTTGATGCAATGCTTGACGCAGCCAAGGCTGTGGCCCAGGAACAGCATCACATGCGACTGTGCAATTTCATGAGGGCCGACACCCTATGATGACCCTTCCTAGTAGTTTTCATCGAGCTTCCTCTCTCGGAAAGGCATGAGCTCTAAATGAGGGCGCGCGATAATCTCACGAGACATTCATATACTGCTCAAATGACGGGCGGGCTGCTGCCAATTAAGACTCCGTCATACCAGGGTAGTACTCGCTTCGAGTCCGAGCTGGAGAGAATGTCAGATGAGCCCATGAATGAGCTGAAAAGGAAAGGACCCTGAGATGCTGGGAGTTCGCGGTTCGGGACGAGCAAGCCAAGATACCGTCGGCCGACATCATGGCTCTTTGGTGATGGTTGAGCTTAAGAGCACCCATCCCCAGGGCGGCCGATGTCCGTTGAAACCAGGCTCGCCCAGAAGGCTCACCTTTTGACACTCTTTTCTGAGGTTGAAGTTCGTTTACTTCTCACTCATCGCGGGACACGATTCATCCCATCAAACATGGCATCATCCAACAGGGACCGCCGCTCCACTCTCTTTACCCTCTCTTCGCTCGTTCCTCTCTTCTTTCTTGCCTTTTACATCGGAAGCAGGCATGAGAACGCTCCTGTCAAGTTAGCTCACCCAAGTCCCAGGGCAGAGAACTCAACTGCTCAGCCCGTCATCGAGGCCACCACCTCTTCCGCTTTCCCTGCTCCGTCTGGCAACTTGTCCGTCTCGGACGCGGAGGCCCCCTTCGGCCTCGCTGTGCGCCTCGACGACGATCCCTATACCTGCGGCCCGGGCCGCCCCTGCTCCAACGGCGCCTGTTGCGGCGCCTCGGGCAACTGCGGCGCGGGCTGCCAGTCCAACTGCGACGCCAAGGCCGAGTGCGGCCAGTACGCCGTCAACCCGGGGCAGACCTGCAAGCTCAACGCCTGCTGCGGCGAGCACGGCTTCTGCGGCACCACCTCCGAGTTCTGCACCGAGGGGTGCCAGTCTAACTGCATCCTAGAGCCTCAGCCTCCGGACGGCTCACCCAAGGACGCCGCCATGGAACGCGTCATAGGCTACTACGAGTCCTGGAGCTACAAGTCAAAGTGTAATCAGAAGTCGCCCTCGGATCTGCCCCTCAAGGAGCTTACCCACCTCAACTACGCCTTCACCTTCATCGAGCCTGGGACCTACGAGATGGTCACCATCGACATGAAGCACGAGGACGACCTGTGGCAGGTCACCGTAGACAGTAAAAAGTACAACCCTAACCTCAAGATGTACGTCGCTGTCGGCGGCTGGGCCTTCTCCGACAACGGCACCGTCACTCAGCCGCTGTTCGGCGAGATTGCCAGCACCCAGGCGAACCGGCAAAAGTTCGCCGACGGCGTGGTCAGGTTCCTTGATAAGTACGGCTTCGACGGCCTCGACATCGACTGGGAGTACCCCGGCGCTGGAGATCGCGGTGGCAGGGACGAGGATACCCCCAACTCTGTCCTGCTGATGAAGACGCTGCGCAACACTTTTGATCGGTCGTCGTGCAAGCTGGGCCTGACCTTCACCACCCCCTCGTCCTTCTGGTACCTGCGCTGGTTCGACATTCCCGGGCTGTTGCAGTACGCCGACTGGACCAACCTGATGACCTAGGACCTCCACGGCACCTGGGACCGGGACAACCCTATCGGGGCTATCGCGCAGGCCCACACTAATCTGACGGAGATCAAGCTCGCCACGCAGCTCCTCTGGCGTGTGGGCGTGAAGCCTGAGCAGGTCGTCCTCGGCTATGGCTTCTACGGGCGCGCCTTTGAGCTTGCGGGTTCCAGCTGTACCAGGCCTGGATGCCCATTCGCCGGCGGTGCCAAGAAGGGCCCTTGCTCCAATGAGGCCCGCATTCTCATGTACTACGAGATCCAGGCCATCCTGAAGAAGTTCCCGGACCTCGAGCCCGTGTTCGACAAGGAGGCGGCGGTCAAGTACATCACCTGGGACAAGAACCAGTGGATTTCATATGACGATGCCGACACGTTCAAGCTCAAGCTCAAGTGGGCCAACGAGATGGGCTTCGGCGGTTCGATGATTTGGGCCGTCGACACGGACGACGACAAGTTCACGGCCATGAGCGGGCTAATGGGCCACCAGGTGGCGCACATCAACACCGATAAAGTCGAGGCTCTGGAGATGACCAGCTCTAACTTGATCGAGACCATCAAGCTGGAGAACGGACAGGGCTGCTACGTGTACAAATCTGACGGCTGTAGAGAGGATGGACACTTCGCCTGCCCCCATGGCGAGAGCCTGATTGCCGTCGACAGGCAAGGATGCGTAAGTGACGCTGTTGACAGGAGTGCCACTGGCGAGGCAGACGTGCTGACTTTTGTATGTGTTATAGGGCTCCGAAGACAGCAGCAAGGGCATGCCGGTCTGCTGTCCCCGGGACTCGACGAGCTCGTGCACCTGGCGAGGCACGCCCGACGACGGTGGCGTCTGGGGTGACTGCAACGGGCAGTGCCACACTGGCGAGACGGCCGTTGTGTCTTCCAAATGGGGAGGCTCTCCCTCGGCCGACACCAAGTGGCCGCGCAAGAACTGCGCGCGGGGGTCCAAGGTGCTCTGCTGCGAAGCCCCCAACTTCAAGAGCATCGTCAAGGACTGTTTGGCAGCTGGAGGCACATTGTATATAGCATCATCTGCGACAATGCAGGTTCTAATGATATTGATCGGGCTTGAGCTCCAGGGAGAGCCGAATGTCACCATATCACATCATGTAATATGGCCTACATGCACTTATTACCTTACCTACCTAATGTAATATGTCATTTCTCCCCTGCCCGTTAGCTGCCCTTGGCGGCCCGCCAGTGTCACCCTACTGCATTTGATAAACAGACTACATGTAGCTAGGTGCCATGTAAGTGTTCCAGCCCAAAGTCCGCTGAATTAAATACTCTCCATGCATCCTCCAAAGCCAGCATGCGCTCACCACCTCAGGTAGGATTGATCAAGCGCATCCCTCACATCATTATCAATCAGCGCTTCCGAACAAGCAACATCACCATTTTCCGACGACTCCCGACCCAGTCCATCGTTTCGTCGCCTGCTAAAATTTGCCTTACATTTCTTCATCATCATCACCACCGTCACCATCACCCTCACGCCATGTCCTCCCCACCACCCTCAGACTCGGGCTCCGACATATTCAAAGCGGACGACGACGAATTCCCCGAACCAACACCCGAAACCAACATCCGCGACTGCGGCTATCCGAAATGGGGCTTCGTCATCTACCGCACAACCTACTCTCCCGAGTCAACCTCGAAATGGGACCAGTTCAAGGCCCTCGTCCTCTCCAACCTCCGCAAACGCATCGCCGACTCCCCCGCCCCGGAAATCCTCCAAAACATGGACTTCATCTTCGTTGACGACCCCTCCCTGGACAACATCTCCATCGCCGACCTGCAGCGCCGTTTCCGCACTTGGGTCGAGTCCGAGGGCATGCTCCCCTTCAAGCCCAGCCAGAGCGACCCGCAGGAAATGGTCTACGTGCCCCGCGGCGCCAGGTACGAGTTCTTCATCATGGTTGACGAGCTCGCCCTGGCTTCCCCTTGCGTCAAGCTCGTGCGCGGCTTTCCCGAACCTGAGAACCCGGACGAGGTCGGGCGCGAGCACGCCAAGGTCTGGCACATTGCTGTCGGAACCGAGCTGTACGACGAGCTGGGCGACCCGAATGCCCCTTATACCGGCCGCTATTACAGGTCGTTGCCTAGCCACCTGATCGCTCAGGGCTATTTGCCACGGCGGACGTGATGCCCAAATCATCCACGCTTTTCAAAATGCTACAATGAGTCCGATGAAGCCCCAAGGCGCGGCAGACGTTCTTGACACTTAAGTCAGAGCGCGATGTCATGCACACAGTGGCGCCTGTGGTATAAAGGAGATTAACCAGCTCGTAGACAACGCCCGCGTTAACACCCATGACGATAAAGACACGAACATTCTGGGGCCCGACATGTTCCTCCGTGAAGGAAGGCTTAGGGGGATAGTGCTGCGTACGGTATTTGTGGAATGCGATAACTAGTATAGTTTTAGTAGCTAAATATCACTTCAGGCTAAGGTCTCAATTCAATTCTCGAATTATACCAGCGCTTGAGACAGGAGACGATGTTATTCTCTGAAGAGATCGTACTCCTTCCACGCACATTTGATAAGCTTCTGATAGGTTGAAGCTCGGCTTTTGGAAATCTCCAGACTTTGTTTCCCGTTCTTTGCACCAGCTGGCTGAATTGTGTATTATTTAGCGATGTAGAAGACAACAGAACAGGAAACGATAGTGTCCGGGGTCTACTTGACTCGAAACAGCTGGTAAGGGCTTACTTTGTGACTCCAATTCTTCCAGTGCATATGTAACGTGTTTCGTCAACCATGCAATACGGGAAATCACCGAGACACGAATTTCAAGAAACTTCGCCTCATCTAGCTCAAAATCGAAATTTCTCCAAGGACTTTCACTATGACATACATATAGGAGTCCCGCTTGCAGTCAGCATATTGCAAACGACCGCCGGATCGAAGGAGTTTAGACCCATTCGCTTCAGACGACCCGTACGAATCGTTCACCGCCATGCAGGATGTCTCAACTCTTGCCCCCACTTCTGGGACTCGTCCACGAGCTGTGTACATCATCAGACGCGCACACGGGTGTACCTCCCGTCAAGGCAGAAAAGCCGGTCTTAATCTTTTGCCGGAATCGGCTGTTCTTGTTTTCAATTGCGCAGACAGCGATGATGGAATGCTGTGGCATATTGCTACTGGGAGATCCCAGCAACGTCCAGTGTGGGAACGGAGCGAAGTCAGTGCCAAAAAGGATCACCCGAGTCTGAAACAGCTCGGAGAGTGCTTTTTCTCCAATGCATTGATTGATCGATTTGGTAAGTCCTCTTTAAAATGTTTGAATGATGCCTGCTAATGTGTCCGTCGCTCAGCCCAGAAAGTCATCAGGTCTCGTGAGATTGAGAACCCGGATATTTCAGCACAGCAGCTCAAGGACCATTTTTGCCTTCGGCTAGTAGATTTTCTACTGGGGACACGCATAGAGGCGGATCCCTCATCTCGGCGTGATTTGCGGGCGGCACTCAAGAACAATCACGCTCACGGTCCAGCTGTCTGTACGCGCATCTCTGCTACCCTCGATCACTCCTGGGAGCCCGGTACGACGCCAGAAGACAACGAGAACGACAAATCAGATGTCAGCGACTTGGACTCCATTGTGTCTCAATTTGACCGTGCATCCGACAACGACTATGACCCGGACGATGATTCTGAGGATGCCTTGTCTGATACCTCGTCCGAATCAGCGAGTTACGAACAGTGTCTGGAGACAATGAGTGATCTGGATTGGGACGAATACAGTGACAAAAGCGACGATGACGACGATGAAGATGACGAAAACGACAGCCTCGCATTGTTTCATGCGTCTTGTTGCCAAAGGAACTACCAGAGAGTGCACGCCATATTCATGATCTGGGATTTCCCCGGCTTCATTCGCCTTCCGTGCTCCCCCTACACTGTCGAGCAGGAAATGGAAGACCCAATGGACTCCTTCAGGGCTTTCAACTACGACGTGGAGAAGTTTACCATTCCTTCGCACAACTCAACTATGGGACTTCTGGAGAGAATCCGCAAGTACAGGAAGTCATTGGTATCTGGAAACTCGGAAACGTTGCTGATCCTTTAGTACAATGGTCACGGCAACATTGAGGGTGACCGGAACGACCTAGTGCTATGCGGGTAAGTGCATGATCATGAGTACGGTTTTACATCTGCATGATTTCTTTCGTTATTTCAACCCCGCTACGTTTGTGTGATCCATTCAGTCACCCAGCTAATCAGATTTCTAGCGAGAAGCCGAGAATTCCCTGGCTGGACATCGTTGACGAGATCCTCGACTTGCCGTGCGATGTTCTCGTCGTACTAGACTGTTGTTATGCCGGTGCCTTCGTTCAGAATCGGAAGGCTCGCAAGCCGTTTCGTGCACAAAATCGGGGATTTATTAAGGAGATTCTATGCTCTGCAGGGTTCGAGACTTCGGCTTCCTTTGGAAAGCGTTACTCGCTATCGCCGCTACTAAGCAAAACGTTGGATGACTTTCGCCGTCGAGGGGGATTGGATTTCAGTCATCTTTTCCACGAGCTCTGTTATAAGATGAAAAGATACTACAAGAGGTATTGGAGAACATCCAACACTCCCGTGCATCAGCGGCTGATTGAAGGGCGTCCGGGTTCAATTCGGCTGCATCCACTGCCCGATCCGACAAGTGCTCCCACTAAGAAAAGACCAGCTTCACTCGCCTTTCCCCATTGCGAGAACGTACCGCCTAAACGCCGTCGCAATTTTGCAGCATTCGAATCCAAACAATAGTTATTTTTAATCCCAAGACATCAAGAAGCGCTAAGGTTCATATGTAGTCGAGTATGGATGGATGGGAGTCTGGCATTCTGTCAATTTGAGTTTGTTTTTGTCTCTGTTATCAGGTCTTCTGGAAGTATTCATTTCTCGCAAAGAATTGAGTCAGTTCTCAATCTTTCTTCAAAACTTCATTTCGTGAAGCCAGGCTGCTCGACCTAAGTGTTGGTCAGTATCAATGTCGATCTCGAAAACGACATCCGCACCCTGTGGCTCGACCTATGGTGACATTTTCCAGATGTTCACCAAGTTATGTTGATACGTACGACTCGGATTTGATGCTAGTCTGTACAGACCTCAAACCCTTTACGCCCAAAGGATTGACCTGACAAGGCCGTTCACTTGCTGTAAGAAACCTCGGTCTCATGTGTAACCTTGATTCCCCTGCCATCAAAGGCAACGGAGAGATTGGCAATCGACGAATCGTTATCCGTACCCCCGTTATTCGATAGTTTACCCCCATCAATATGACTGATCTGTTTTTCACCACTCATACCTCCTGATTGTATGATGGTCTCTCGATGATTCGTAGCATCCTTGCGGAGAACACTTCCTGAACACAATTTTGTCTCATCGTCCACCTTCCCTGAACCTCCCTCAGATATGTCATCCTGAGAGTGAAGCTCGTAAGATTCAGATTGCATGTTTCTTCTCTTCTTGTTGTTCTCAATGACGGTGTTGTACGGGAGAGACTTCTTGCCAGTCCTGTTGCTGGGACCTGTAATGCGCGAGGAAATGAAGCTAGGGAGGTACCGCAAGAAGAACGGTTTGAGACCCGGCACAGCCGCGCATACTATGCCAGCGTTGGCTTCGAGAAAGGACCAATTGAACTGTTCGGCAACGTCCCAGCTGTAGTCCGGGCTCTCCATTAAAGAAGGAAGAATTATGGTGCGCTTGATTGCTGCGGCACAGACACTATAGTAACGTCAAGCCAGCTGCTCGAAGTTCTTGCTACAAGTCTTTGTTATCTGCGTGGATACCTCACTATCTGTCCGGATGATGACGGGACGAGATGTGCAACACCAATAGTCTATAGCATCGCAACATCCCGCCCGCGTGTCTGTAACTGAGAAATCCACGGCGATAACAGGGCCTCTATGAAGTTGTGATTGGGTGCAAGCGACTGCGGGGAGAACTCACAACGTGCCAGTTGCGAACAGCAGAATTACCGACGCTTTCTGCCGCCTCGCCATTTGAAGAGGGATGACAATCTTCAACGGCAGCACAAGGATAACGACATCCATAACGATGTTGGCGATGCTGAGAACCATGTAGACTGTCTCCTTATCGACACAGTTCGCAGTCTTCAACGCCACCGCGTCCCATGAAGCATAAACAGGGCGGCAACCGAACAGGCTAAGCAACTGATACGCGATCGAGTATGCAGTTACGATTCCAATCAACGTCATGACAACGATACGGAAGCTCTGGTCAGGACATAGTCGTAGGTAGAGAAACAGAAGTGACAGTTTTGCCAGAACAACAGTAAGGGAGTAGGTCATGGTCGTGCAAGTGCCGTACTGCGGAATTCTGTAAGCATATTGAGCGCTCAGCGACCAGACAAGAGTTGGAGGTCGGCAGAGACGTAGACATCGCAGCTTACAATCAGAAACCCGGGATCATAGTCGGCATATTTGACCTGCCAAAAATGAGATCCTACACCAAGCCCAATCACTGAGATGAAGATATCAGCAACTGCCGAACATGAAACAGCTTCTGATATACCCGACTTACTCTTCAGGCCAGTGGCCAAGAAGCCGAGGCTCATGATCATCGAAGCAATGATCAAGTATGAAGTTCATGTCAGCTTTCACGGCACAATCGAAGGACCGATGCACTCACAATCATCGATCCCCAAGCTTCGCCGCACAATATGTGCTCTAGTGAAGATTCGCAGCACGACAAATAATAAGGCGACGATGGTGGTAGATGTTCTTGCAGCAGCCATGCCGGATCCCACGCTGCCTGCAGCAAAGCGATCCTCCCCTTCCGGCGGATCTATCATGTAGACGGTCTCCGCCCCGGAAGCCATTGCACAACCTCTTGGGTCCAAAATTCGAAATGGTGCATAGAAGTGAGAAAGAAATTTCAGAACTAGCCAACTGCAGCAGAGGAAGCGAAAGAAATAGCAGCACGCTTTCGCGTTCGCAGAGGCCTTGTTGGCTCTAAATGAGCCTGATGATATTTGCACCGACGCGAACACCAGTCTAGGTGGCAAGGATAGATTCCTTCTTTCGACATTAAGTGTCTGTTTTGCCGTTCTACCTCCGTCAGCTTAGACAGCTGTCTTGCCTCTGCGTTCGCTAACGATTCTACCGAGGCTACGGCCACTGGTCAGGAACTAACAAGACTTTGGCCAAATCCTGGCCAGCCCTCTCAATCATACGAGTATGTGGGGAACCAAGTAGTTGTTGGTGATGAGATATGATACAGGGAGCATCGTCGCGGGGAGCGGGGAAACGCTTCCGCGAGATCAATTCCATGCGCGTTTCCGTTACACATGTCCAGCGCATTGAGGCTTCTTCGATTTCCTGGCTGCTTCTCATCCAGATTATCCTAGCCTTCGAACGAATTTTCGTTATGGAGCTTACGACCAGCTAACTGAATCAAATCTCTCGGTCAACCTTACGCTCCTCCGGGAGCATCTATCAATCAAGGTGAAGCAGACGTCGGTAATGGTGCTTAGTCGTTACATATGAAAAATGTTTAATCCGATTGCTCTCGAATTCTCGCTGACGAGGGAATCACTTTCTCAAGTTGCTTATTCCCGAAATCAAAGGTGTTGGCATGACGGCACTTAATTTGTATTCCGGTTTCGCTATCAGGCTCGGATGGCAATTTGCTCGCACCAGGAAGGATGACACTGACAAGGGTTGCATTTTCCCAAGATAGACATTGCCCAGCGCTGTTGGTGGAGGATCCGCGCCGCAGTCTGCAGGGGATACGGCTAATCTTGCTCACCCAGCACACTGCTAAAGGCCACCAGTAAGATGTGCGAAGATGGCAAGATATTGGAAACAAACCCACATGCTGGGTTCATTATCTCGCTTAGGCTCTGTCCTGCGTAGCTAGTAAATCAGTAAATCAAGTGTGCAGCAAACATATCCAATACAGCAAATGCAGGCATCATATTCAGCTGCCCAGACAGGAGAGCACCAACAGCGTCATGTCATTCGCCAGTATCGACATTCGTGGCGGAGGATAAGCCTAGATCGTCGGTTGTCGGTCTGCGAGCCGGTCAGTGTGGGCCAAGCGGCAGCGAGGTCCGGAGTCAAGACTCTGGGCGGCCAGGGTGCCGTCCCCAATACCTCACCGTCGCTGGTCCTTCGTGGCCTGCCTTATTTCCACCGCATGTTTGCTTGAGTGGGTCTGGAGATCCTTCGATATGGAGAACCAGGTTCATCTAAGGCGTGGAAGCTGGGGTACAAAGATCCAAACATTCATGGGTGGGTGACGCTGGGCATGCAAGAGACTGTTGGAGCTGGGGTCATAATCGTAAGACAATGCGAGAAGTTCCAAGACACTTGTCCTGGTGGATTTTGCAAACCAGACGGAAAAACAGACCGTTGAGCACGAGGACGGTTTACTTTACATGCGGTCTATATCTACTTTTCGCTCCTCAATTCGCTCCTCAATCCCGTGTGGACTTCAAGCTCAAGATTTGCCATCCTCGAAAGCTCCGACTTTCTGCCTTTGCCCACCATGTCTCGAATGCAGACTGATGAAGAGAAGCACCCGGAGCTTTTCAAGCCCGACCTCAACATTGACCGCCGAACATGCAAGCGAGTCGTCCCATTGGAGGTTCTGGCCCTTGGCATGTCCAAGACGGGTACATCATGTAGGTATCCGCACTCTCCTTAGAGATCGACCCCAATCCTCTGGAGCCCAGGCTAATGACATGGCCACCCAGCAATGCAACGAGCTCTCATGATTCTCGGCTACGATGACGTTTACCACGGCTTTTCTATGACATCCAACATCTGCGAGGTCCCGTTGTGGACCGAGGGCATGCACGCAAAGATGAATCCCCAGCCCGGCCAGAAGCCCTTTGGCCGCACCGAGTTTGACCAGCTGCTCGGCCACTGTGGGGCCGTCTGCGACCTGCCGCCCAACTTCTTCGGTCCGGAGCTGGTTAGAGCGTACCCCGACTCTAAGGTCGTCCTCGTCGAGCGGCAATTCGAGTCGTGGTATAAGAGCTTCGATGAGAGCATTGTCAACGTTGCCTTCAACCCTGTCTGGAGGATGCTTTCTTGGCTCCGCGCGAAGTATGTCGCGGAGATTGATGACATCACATTCACCTGGCTGCGGTACCAATTCAACTCAGACACCAAAGAAGGAATCTTGGCGAACGCTCGCGAGGGATACAAGAGGCACTATGACACCATCCGTAGGGAGACACCTCCCGAGAGGTTGTTGAACTACAATTTAAAGGACGGTTGGGGCCCGCTGTGCGAGTTTCTGGGAAAGCCTATCCCTGATGTGCCCTTTCCGCACGTTAATGACCACGAGGCATACCACGAGAAGCTTCAGATCATTATCAAGAAGGGTGCAAAGGCTTTTGCGAGGAAAATGGTGTGGATTGCCGTGCCGGGTCTTGTCGGAGCTGCTGCTTACCACTTTGGGACCAAACCTGGCATGATCGAGCACGCGATGCAGTTCTTGAAATAATTCAACCATGTGCTTTTTTAGATTCATATTGAGCCAACTTATCATTGGTGGAATCAATTTCCATCGTTCAGATTGATAAGAGCCCCGCCAATTTCAGCTTAATTCTCATCGTAGGCCGGCAGGCAGCAGTGACAATGGGCTGGGAAGCTGCTTGTTTCGCTGGATGCTTCGATCTCCTTTGTTCCAGTTCTTTGGGTTGGAAATGCATCGAAGAGAGACTGTGCTGCTGATAAGTAAGTGAGACATGGAAGGGGCATGATCAGGCAGGCAACTCACCTTCGACACGTCCTTCCTTCCCATGTGTACACGACCAAAACTCCATTAGGCCACCATACTCAGGACTTGGATCAATTTCCACGACTCCAGATATGCATCTGAGATGATGGCTTCATTTGCTCTTCCTTTTGTTCGTACTTCAATAGCTGTGGACACAATAGTGACATCTGGATGGAAGGAAGAGTCATGGTTTTACCTTCCCGAGCCGACACGAGCCGACAAGCTGAAATGGAGGGGTGTGCAGATGTCTATGTCATAATTAATTAATGTACGCGTAAGGTAGGAAGTAGGGTGGTCTCTGGCCCTCTCCTGCCTGCCCTTTGCCTCAGTGCTTGTCTGTCGTACCGGTCAACACCACACTTAGACACATAGAATGTCTGCCATACCTACTTAGGGAGGTTTGTGTCCAGCGATGGCAACCAGCGGGTGGAGAGGTGACAGTGCATATGCCGAGTATAGCCCAAATGCTAGCTCAACACCAAGTCATACTATCCAACGTTGGGAGCTCTTGGGTTCGATTCCCTTTTTGATCGCTCCTTTTTTGTTTTTGTTTTCGTTCCTTGTGGTCTCATAGGGGTGCACCTGCCGGAAGTATCGAGATATTCCACAAAGGAGGCTCCGAACAGCTTGGCCTGGATCATGCTGGCTTTGAAGCAGCTGCCGCATCCCAGTGCTTTCCAACAATTCTGGAAACGTCAGGCAAGCACCCAGAAATTTTCAAAACCCAACATTTTTGCAACACCTGAGATTCACCCTTCCTCAGGTTCATAGTCCGGGAAGTAGCAAGTTCTCTTGATACCCAACACCTAGGGCTCCTTCCTGACTTTCTTTCAACTCTTCCTCTTCCGCTCACTTCCATCGTCGACTAAGCACATCTAGTCAGGGCACACGATAATCTTCACTCCTGCCCTAACTAGAATCTCCGCTCTTCCCTTCCACAACCTATTCCTTCTGCCTGAAAATTTCTCTTTTCCTCGAAGTCCATCTGTTGCCAGAGTTTTCCCTCCTTCCCCTCCACCGCCCACCTTCACACAAAAACAACAACACACCTCACCTTCTCACCACCCACTTCTCATCCCCATCTTCATCCAACCTGCAACACTTGCACTTCACTTTCCACCCTGTACTTCATCACAAGTCATCATGTCTTCTTCCGAAGGCAACACCAAGAAGCCTCTCACCGAGAGAGAGCTCGAGATTCTCAAGCATGCATGGAACTGCATGAAGACCCCGCCTGAGGTAAGAACACAACCCAGCCATCGTGGTCACTTCTATTTTTCGTCCACTCCTGTGGTTATATACTCTACCTCACTGTTGTCATCCTCGCCATCCTCGTCGTCGTCCCTTGTCGTCGTCCCTTGTCGTCGTCCCTCGTCGTCGTCCTTCGTCGTCGTCCTTCGTCGTCGTCCTTCGTCGTCGTCCTTCGTCGTCGTCCTTCGTCGTCGTCCCTGGTCGTCGTCCCTAGTCGTTGTCCCTCGCCATCGTCTTTTTTCGTTCGCGTGTCTTCAATACTGACCGTATGAATAGATCGACTACCCCAAGCTCGCCGAGGCCTGCGGCATGACCAACCCGCGCTCGGCCACCAACGCCTGGGGTGTCATCAAGAAGAAGCTCTTCGCTGATATGCCCGCCCCTGCCGCCAACGAGGACGGCACCGCTACCACTCCGGCCAAGCGCAAGCGCGCCACTCCCCGCAAGAAGGCCGCTCCCACACCCTCCACCGAGGAGGACGACGAGGAGGCCGACGAGCTCACCAACGCCACCGAGGAGAAGCTTGTCGTCGAGACCCCCGTCAAGAAGAAGCGTACCCCGGCTAAGAAGAAGGCTGCCCCCGTCGCCGCCAGCCAGGGCGACGCCGACGCCGAGGACACCGCTTCCCCTGAGACGCCTGCCAAGAAGAAGCGCGCCACCCCGGCCAAGAAGCGCACCCCTGCTAAGGCCAAGAAGGAGCAGGAGGAGGCTGCCACCGCCGCTGAGGAGGAGGACGAGCTCACCACTACCCCCCAGGAGGAGCCCAAGTTCGAGGTGAAGGAGGAGGCTAAGGCCAAGGAGGACGTCCAGATGGAGGGTGGCCAGGACAGCGCTGAGATCTAGACTTCATCTGTCTTGCTTGCTTGGGGTTTCCCTCTCTGTCTTGCACGATGATCACGACTTTCTCTTTTTCTCATATGGTATTCGCTTTGGCTTTCAAGCGGGTGTAGCAACTCGGCTAGACGGGCTTATTTGGATGGCGTTTGGGATGTGATATCGTGGTTCTTTTGGGATGGACACATGGTTTGGTCACGGCATGGCTCTCGAGGAGAGCTGAATTTTCGGATGGTACCTTAGCTTGATAAGATCGGTCAAAGAAACTGGTCAGGAGGTAATCGGATCAAGCTTTACACACATTTTCGAGTTTTCCCCACCATGGTGATTCGAATTTGCCGAGTTTTCTGTTCCATCAGAGGTTCCTTCCTCCGTCCATGCCGTTGTTCTTCCCCAGGAAGAACCTGCCCATCATGGTCATCGTACCTTCCCAAGCATCAACAAAAAGGACTCCAAGCAGTAATTCCGGCGATACGCCTCATCGATAAAAATAACATGCTCGAGCCCTGAGTCCAAATGCCAAACTTTGCTCATAAAAAAGTCCAAGCCAGTAGCTGTTGAGGTTCTCGTGAGACCCGCATCGGGCCGCCCTGGCTCGAAGGGATGTTCACATCCCTAGAAGCACCTCCCTTCCTTTTTGCCACCGCCAAAATCACTTCGTCAAGACATCTTCATCAAATATCAAATTATCTTCATCAAAGCGCAAGAATGGCTCGAATCATCGCCCTGCTTGCCGCCATTGCCGCCATCTCCGGCGCCGCTTCCGCGGTGACTTGCACCCCGAGCGAGACATATTGCGGCTCCCGTCTCCTCAAAATCGGTCTGATCCTCATATCCTCCCTCCAAACGCGTTTTCAAAGCTAACCGAAAATTGCAGACGCGAACAATCAGAAAGCCATCAAATCTTCGCTGGCAGCGGGGAAACAGACCGCCGACGATGCGCACGTGAGCCAGTCCGTCTTCTGGTGCGTCCCGTCGGGCGTGCCGGCGGGCGACTCCGGGCTGCTCTTCGTCACGTACTGCGATCCGAAGAATGCCTGCCAGGAAGGAGGAGCATTGGGCGGTGTCGGTGATGCGTGTTCTACTACGTCGAGTTCGACCTCGCCCAAGATTCGTCGGTAGACTGGGAAGGTAAAATGTTTCGGGCCCGAAGCACATACACGATCTCTCTGGCAGAGCACACGCGAACGAGGGATATGTAATCAAGCCATTTTTATCTATTCACACTCTCTTTAAACAGAAATGTTTCCAAAATGCATGATACATGGCGCTCAAATGGAATCCTAAGTTTATTCCTGGATGTACTTCTTCAACCCACGCAGCCTCTCCTTGGCAGTCTCAAGCACATCATCAGGCTTGCAGACGGCGAAGCGGATGTAGTCCTCGGCAATGTGCGCGTTGGAGTCGGTGTAGAACTCGGTGGGCGGGATGGCCGCGACGCCGACCTCCTGGATGAGGAACCACGCGAGCTTGAAGTCGCGCGGGCGGCTCGCGACGTGCTCTGGGAAGGGGTAGTCCTCGGGCAGCTTGACCTTGGCCATGTTGACGAGCACGAAGTAGCCGCCCTCGGGCTCGGAGTAGGGCATGCCGAGCTCCGTCCAGACCTCGTTGAAGCGGTCCATCTTGCCCTTCATGTCCTTGATGGTCTCGTCCCAGAAGCCGTGCTTCTCGGCCTCCTCGAAACCTGTACGATGGCGTGTCAGCTTTCATCTTCTGCTTCACTGTCTCACATAAAGGGAAGGGGATCACGTACCGACGGCACAGGCCTCTTGCAACGGTGAGACGGAGGAGTAGCAGATGCGGGTGTGTGCGGCGGAGACGTGCTGGATCAGCTCGGCAGGGCCCATGAGCCAGCCGACGCGCCAGCCGGTGGCGTAGAAGTTCTTGCCGGCGGAGCCGACGGTGATGGTCAGGCTCTCGATCTCGGGGGAGAGGGTGGCGATGCGTGTGAAGGGGACGTAGAAGAGACGGTCGTAGACCTCGTCGGATAGGATGATGATTTCGTGCTTGACGCAGAGGTCGCCGATCTTTTGGAGCTCGTCCTTGGAAAAGACCTTGCCGACGGGGTTGTCTGTATTGGGAGTCAGTGGTCATTTTCAAATTAAGATTGCAGGGGCAGGATTGACGGACGAGGTGTGTTGAGGACAATCATCTTTGTCTTGGGGGTGATGGCGCGCTCGAGCTCGTCAAAGTCGATGGTCCAGTTGGCGGCGGAAGAGGTCTTCTCGCCGCCGTTCTTGGGAGGGTGGAGGGGCACGTAGGTGATCTTGCCGCCGGGCATCTCGATGTTGGAGATGTACCTGTTCCAGAATCAGCACTTACATCTCACGTCCACCACTTTCTGTGCTATCTCACTGGTCGAAAAAGGGCTCAAAGACGATGACCTCATCGCCGGGCTCGATGAAGGCCATGAAGGCGCTGAGCATGCCTACAACCACTGTCAGTCTATCGTCTCACCGGACATCTTCCTCTCAGTACGGATTCCCTCTCACCTTCATTGGCGCCGGTGGTGATGGTGACCTCGGTCTCGGGATCGAGCTTGCGGCCCCAGTAGGGAGAGTAGGCGTCTGCGATGGCCTTCTTCAAGCGCGGGCGGCCCTTGGTTGGACTGTACTGGTTGCACTCGACGCGGTCCAGGGCCTGCTTGGCGGCATTGAGGATGAAGTCGGGCGGGTTGTAGCCGAAGAAGCCCTGGCCCATGTTGACGATGGGCTGCTTGGGCGAGGCGGCCGCGGCCTCGTTGACGATGGACCTGGTACCGGTCAGCAAAAGGGTTCACATCTGGTGAGGATAAGAGTCACTGCTGACTCCTTATGGAGGTCCTATCTCACCAAACATCCTGTCTGCGTCCGGCGACTCTGGCCGCGGGCTTGATCTTGCTGCTAAGACTCATCGTGGCCGTCGCGTGGAATCCTCTTCTGGCGGCGCTGCTGGGGATGCGAGACCGGAGGACAGGGAGGAGGAAAGAGCTCATGGAAGGATGGTAAGAAGGGAAATAACCGGAGGCAGGACGGGACGGCGTTTGAAAGGCGTACTACTACAACTTGCGCCCTCCTCAATCGAGCTTCGAGTTAGAAGTCGGCGAATTGCACAACGCTGATTGCTTGAAAGTGCTTGGGCCCCATTCGGTGCTGGATTACGCCATTTGCGACCCGATTTTCGGTCACCTCTGTGGCATCTGCAGCGGGGTGAGCCGCCCGTTTGTCGGTGCGCCGCTGTGGCTCTCTCTCTTTTGGCGGGGTAAAAAGCAGTGAGGGGCAGTAAAGCTCGATGATGACTAATCGCGGCTTCATTCCGACATGACCCCGACGCCGGCTTCGGCTATTCACGGTCATGACTTGGCATTCTTTCTTCAGCTTCAACCAGAAAAGGCATCTTATCACGATGGTGTTCTACAAGTTTGTATGCAATGCAATAAATGGCCATCGAGCGAACAGAATCCGCTTTCAAGTTGCATCTAATTTTCCGATTGCTTTTCTGCCATGGCAATACGGGGAAGCTACCTAGCTGCCTGTCATCAACATGTCCAAATCATGCATCCCCTCCCCAAGATAGCCCCAGACTTCGACAGAGTTCGGGCGAGGCTACCAATTACTTGTAAAATATTATTAACCACACGCGCAGCACAACAGCCCAACTTTGTTTTGGACAAGGTAGCAAGGCATTTACTTGGACACTGCCTAGCGAATTGTCGAAAGCGATACGCCTTATTTCCGCCTACCCGCGGGTGCTCGCGAATCGGACGGTTCCCTGGCAGACATGCAGAGACAAGCATCAGCCCCCATCGCAGATCTTTGAGTTGGGGCTACTTTCAGGAACACTAAACCCTCCCGTGTCTCTTTCAATACGCACCCCTGAATGTCATCCTACTTGTCAATTCTGTTTCTGCTGCCTTGGAAGGATTCCGTCCCATGATGAGTTCGGCTCCTACACGGCATTTACCCGCCATTTGGGGGCCAGATGCAGGGGGCTCGGGTTGTGAGCTCTTGACATTTGTAACCCCAAATTCCCCAGGGAGAGTCTCCGTCGATGATCATTGAGCCGACGACTGTCTCGGTATTTGACACGATAATGTTGTGCGCACAAGTATAGCGTCTCCCTGAAACAGTAAAATCTCTCACGTCAGCCAAAGTCCGTTTGATAGATCTGCATGTAAATCCATGCCAAGTATCGACGATTTGTTGATACGGGCCTTTCACTGCGCCTAGGTAGGTACTGACACTTCCGGCAGGAAGATGAGAAAGTCAAGGTTTCCCGCTTCGTCTGATTTCGATGACATGGGATGCTCAGCCCAGGGGCTTCACAGCTGCAGCTCCAGGCTTCAGTATTTACACCGTTTGAGGGGGTCTCGAAAGATATAAAATGACGGCTTGTTTTCCACTTTGAAGTTGTATTCATCCAGCATCAGCATCAACATCTCCAACTCAAAGACTGCACACTAATTCATACAATCTGCCCATAGCTCATTCCCCTAATAATACCTTCAACATGCAGTTCTCTACCGCCACCATCATAACCGCCGTCTTTGCTTCTCTGGCTCTCGCCAACCCCGTTCAGCTTGAGTCTCGCCAGGACCATTCCAAGGTCTCCTCCTTCAGCGATGACCTCTGCACGAACGGCGAGCAGGTCTTTGAGGTGACCGGCGTTGGGGCACGTCGCTGCATCCCGATCTCCAACAAGCGCTCGATCAAGGTCGCTGATAAGCGGTATGAAGCACCCGACGTTCTTTTCCACGAGCCTTTAGTGTACTGATATGAGAAACAGTGGTTGCACAATCAAGACATGGAGTGGTTCCAACTGCGGGGGCAGTGACTTCACTCTTCCCGATGGCGATCTTGACTGCCATTCCATTCTCCACGCCGCGGTGGAAATCATTTGCTAGAACTTGGGGACCATCACTTACAAGACTGCATAAAGATATTTGGGAATTCATAGCTTATCCTCGCGGCGTACATGGAAATTCTTAGTTGCTCTCATTAACAATTATATTGAATTCAAACGTGAAGTCTAAACGTTTTGCTTGCCGGGCGGTGTCGGTTGGCTATCCATGCAGTGTCTGCATAAACGTGTGTAATTGGTGCATCATGCTAGACCCCTGGATATCTCTCAGCCTGTGTAATTGCTTACGTTGTCACCGTCGTCGATGTCACTGTCCTCGCTGTCCCTATCGTCGTCGTTTGTAGTGTTTATTATTATCGCTATTCGTATTGTTTTCCTTGCTATGATTATTCCTATAGAAGTGATAAGCACATTACCATGAGACTTACAGGGGATCCTGATTTGTACATCTGAAGTCCCAAACTAATGTAGATACCAAAGGGTGAGTACTTTCCAGGTTCACCAGGTGTACACCTTGTTGGTTAAAATAACTCGGTTGCTGCCTGCCACGCCCAATAGGGACGTGCGTTTCGTGGTTTTGACAGCTCTCTTGACAGCACAGAAAGAAAATTGAATTGGAAATTCTTTCCCTTGCCAATTCCTCACTCTATCCACCACTCGGCAGCCATCATGACAGACTTTCAGCCACCGATTGATATCCAAAAGCAAGGATCAAGCGAAAATGATGATTCTAGGGCTTTGAGTTCGGATCAGTTGGCTAACAATGGATGCCGGAACCATACTGACATAGAGAGATTCATCTGCCGTCTACTCGCAAAGCTGCGCATGTACGTCAAACCCGGCTGTTGCTGATATTTCTGCTGATTCATTAAGTAGAACCGGTCTCATCATCTTGTTTTCATGGCTTGCATACGGTGTCATGGCACTCATCCGAGCTGGAAATCTATTCTCGAACGCATCGTGGTTCAGTGGAGACATCCCTTTCACGTGGGTCTTCACGATCTTTTACGCCGAGAGGCTTGTACATCTCCTCATTCATTAGGTATCCAGAAGTTGTTTATGAATTCCTTTTTTCAGAAGACCTAGACGAAGACGGGCCATTGCGGGCGAGCGTTCTTGGGGTTCAGAGTCTAGATCTTCATGTCTGCCCTTTTTATCAGGGACAGCTACACGGAAACCTCATGAAGACGGGGAAGACGCAGTCCCTTAAGACTTTCTAAGACTTCCACCACAAAATGAAATCGGGATTCTAAGCTACCAGTAGGGACTGTGACTATCTACAGCACCGTCCTGCCCTGATGCGTAAATGCTCTGAGACGAAAGGTCGGCCGTGCTCTGTGTTCTCGAAAACCTCCAGCAAAGACAATGATTTTTGCTAGCCGGGCAGTGTCTCCTATGACCCGTAATAGTAGAGAGAGAAGCGACGATAAAGGACGACGGCAATAGACGAAAACGACGATAGCGAGAACAATAGCGACGACTACGGCGATAACGACGGTGATGCTTTAGCACGAGGTACGGATTACGCGCGCGTGTGTGGACACTGTCCGGCTAGAAAAGCTCAACACAATAGACCGTCAGGACAGTCCAACATAATCTGCCAACATATCCAGCACCTGGTTGAACAAACGAGTCTGGGCGATCAGGGTCGGGAAGAACCTCAGAACGTGAGGCTTCAAATTGGTCGCGAGATTTCTCCGCGATTTGGCATCGCGTGCAAATGGCTCCAGCTTCTGGATCAACAGCCAATTGCTGCCAATGCCGGCCAGCAGGGTCGATGGCTTTTGTTCCTTGGTAGACATCGCGTCCCTTGGGCGGGATTCAATCTTCTCGGGTATGCGACTAACATATGTGCAGCGATGCAGGACGCGCCAGGCCTTCGTGCGTGCATTGCCCGTTTCGTTCTTCAGTCCTTCGCGCAGAGTCCGCAGCAGTTGAGCATTGGGCTCCGGTGACTTCTCAAGCCAGACATGGTTCAGAACGTGCTCGAAGAAAGTGTGCGTTGCCTCCACGCTTGGCTCAAGCCAAAGGCTCATCCACCTATACGCATCAACGGCACCAGGTGTCTTGAAATATTCGCCAGTGTTTTTGTCCTGGTACCTGATGCCGACGGATGGAGGCAGCTCTGTGGCTAGCTCAAAGCCTTCCTCTGATGACTTGTCCTTCGTCGTCACAAAATTGAAGTGGGCGCTGAACATAGCATCAACGGAACGGTTTGCGTTAATATTCATAACCGAAACCTCTTCCTCGTCCGAGTCAACTAGGCTGGTTTTGGTGTCCAAGTTCCCTCCAACCTCGGACCTGACCATGTCCAGGGTTGAGTTCGTCTCTTGAAACGTTCCTCCGTCTGCGGTCCACACGTATGCATTGCAAATATTTCGATACGTACGTTGAGGGAGCTCATCGGTATAGAGCAGCGACTGGCGGTCATATTCGCCTTGGAGTTGTTCCTCAGCCCGACTAATACGCTCCCGGAGTGCGTAAGCTTCTGTCGGTTTGTAATACGACGCATCCTTTGGGGCTGAGGACAGCGCAGGGTAGTGCGGGTCGTTGGTCGCACCACGACGGCCATCAAGGCAACCCTGTTTGGTGTAGGTAGGATTGATCTCAAAGGTGACAAGGTTGCGATCTTTGGGAATGTCTGCATTGGGTCGCATCTGATAGGCGACGACAGGCGCAATCGACCCACGCATCTGGAGACGAAGCGCGAAAACATCCGCGACCTCACTCTCAATGAGAGCGAGACCAGTGTTGGACGGCTCAAATCCTGCCTGCTTTTTGTCATCGTCGCCGTCCTTCCAGATACTAGTCAACTGGACGCCCATCTCCATGTCACCATACTCGGCCACAGAAGGCCCAGCAACAATGGTGGCCCCTTGAGGTGGGTGGATATCGAGTCTCAGTGTGTGGTCTACGCAGGCGGAATCCAGCCCAACAGGTGCTTGGGATGATACTGCGTTCGCTTCAAATCCAAAGAGCGGCGTAAGATGCCAGCAGTTGGCTGAAGTGTCGGTGAGCACAGCATGCGACCCCTGAGGCGAATTCCCGGGTGAGTTAACCGCCCTCTCATCATGGAATGGAAGATAGACAGCAAGATCCGCTGTGGTCTCGGTCAATGAAGTGTTCATTGAATCGCAGATGTTCTCTCGGGTTCGCGGCGTATTCCAAATGCGCAGCTCGTCAAATCCGCCACAGAATCCCGGCCCGGGGCGAAGAAAACGACACTCCTCGTTCCCGTAATCCATCAAAACGTTTCCGATTGACAATTGATGCGGTCCTGTGGGAGAAGCCTGTTCAAGGAGACTCATCTCCTTCGCCTCTGGCTGCTTATGCTTGACTTTCGAAGCATTGATGTGAAACGAGAGCTGGGAGTCTGGGTCATACGGACTGCGAACCCAGCTCAGCTCACCCTGGAACTTGCCATGGTTGCGATTCAGATCATCCACAAGACTGACACCTCCTCCTTCGCGGCAAGACCAAGAGCCAATCATGCCGTTCGTGCTTTCAGAGGCAGCGCACAGCTCGAACGCCGATTCATGAAGTTTAATGGCCGAGGAGTACAGTCGGATAGACCCAATTGCGCCTCGTAACCCGCTTTCCTTGGCCCACGACGCTCCACCGAGAGAGAGAGGTGCCTGATTCGTTCGTACAGAGCCGTGAATCTGGTGACCTTCAACTTGGCTCTTGAAAGCAATCTCATCGTTCTCAAGAGCTTGTACGCTCCTCGGAATTATCTCAAACTCCACCTCCCCCTTCGAATTCCACGCACGCATGGTGACCTGCTGACAAGGCCTTGGGGGCTTGCTTCTCGTTGGTTGGCCAGGCTCCGAAGCTTCTTTCTGAGAGACTTGGACGAGCTTGCGAGACAGAAAGACCTTGTATGCCTTGCCAGCATCGAAGGCTTTGGGTGATTCGAACACGCGCCGTTGTGGATTGGTGCCATCCTCACCCATAGCCCAATAGGAGAGTTGAAGTCGGTTGCTTAAAGATATCTTGACATTCAAGGGTGTTGAATTTGCATTCCTGTCACCTTTCACAAGGATGCAATGCTCCCTGTCATCGCTTTCAGACTTCTTGTTGAGTTTAAGTGTGAATGCCAGCGAGAAGTCGAAGACATTCCACTCTTCCGATTTGCCAAGGTCAACGTAACCCTTGCCCGAACTCATGAGGGCGAACGCACTTTGGCTTGAGCAAGCAAAGTGTGTCCACTCGCCGAACCTCAGAGCAGAGGGCCGACTGACTGCAAATCGCGTCCCGTTGACGTTGCCAATCATGTCGAATACAGGACCTCCCCCTGACGGCTGAGCGATACCAAGCACGAAGGTCTGTTGTTCCTTAGTCAACCCCTCAGCACGTGGTAGCCGCTCTGACGTGTAGGCAACTGGGATAGTATTGGTCGATTCCGATTCAACCTTGATCCAAGTTTCGAAACATATGCCAGCGCAGGCAGCCGTCGCCACTGTATCCTCCAGCATGGAGTAGCATTTGGTGCGACCATCAAGTCGGAGAGCAGTCGAGCGAGGTGGAGAACCGAAGGATGGGCTCTGGCTGCTACCGCTGATGAAGCTAGTTCCAGGGATTTGGATATTTGCTTCTGATGCTTTGGCGACCGCACCGCTGATCACAGCCGATGGGGACCATGCCATGCTCACGATGCCGGATCCATGCGAGAAATTGCCAGCAAATTTGCCTTCACAGGTAACCAGGAGTTCATGTTGATAGCCCTTGGCCGTCACCTCTGCACCTTTATCAAGCGGGCTGCCTTTCGGTCTCTGGTCGTTATATAGAACGGCCACGAGATTCTTGTCTCCAGCTTGTGTCTTTGAGTACAAAGTAGCTCCGCATACCGATACTCAAAGATGTTCCTGCCGTAAGGGAGTCCGTGAGAACATCCAAAAGAGCAGTGTCAGTTGGCGGTGTCTCCATGTTTGCGTAGCCGTTTGTCTGTTTCATAGACCATATTAGAATAAAGCTGAGAGAAGGTCAACACAAGTGGTAGGCAAACTCACGGTAACTTCTACCAGCTGAGCCACATGGCCGATA